GGCCGGAGTACTCAACGGATTCAACGGAGATACAATTTGTCGGAGACGACTTTCGAAACAGGGTTACATTAGGGATATGGTTCACAAGTTAAGATATATAACTTGATAAATATGCATACACTTATGCATACAATCTAAAGGTTATTTAAGATTTACAACTATTACCTTTTATATTGATAAATTCATCTTGGAAAACATCTCCACACCTGTGAAAGGTGCGGAGTTTAAATAGAAACTACCTGCTTTGTATTGTAAGACAGACAAACAGTAATGTCGTCTTTTATAAATACATCAAAGCTAAACAATACTGTATTGTATTTTTTAAATCTCATTTTAGTTTCAGGACAGGGTTTCCTTAATTTTTTATTAAAAATTAAATTTTTATTTTTTCCTGGAGATAATCATAGCTTGAAACATCCAAGGACTGTATGGTTTATGCTTATTTACAGAAATTATGTTTTTTTTATGAGGGAATGAAGACTTAAAACAGTTTTCTATAGTTTCAAAAAAGACGTAAAAGGAAGTTTCTTCACCAGTGTTTAGCAGAATGTCCCAGTTTTCATTTTCGAGCATTGTTTTAAACCTTGATATCGAAGGAGCATCAAATTTTAAATTTTAAATTTTAAATTTTAAATGACGAATATAAAAAACTGGAATATGATCAGAAATGTCAGAAAGTATAATTCCTGAATCATAAGCATCATCAGCAATATTTGTTATAAAATTATCTAGAAGAGTGGCAGTGGTTCCAGCTATCCTTGTTGGAAGAGATATTATTGGCAAAAACTATTTTCAAGTAGTGAATTTAAGTAAAGCCCTGTATCAATGTGGCTTGAATGGTTTAATAAGTTTATGTTCATGTCCCCTACTTATATAACTTTATTCACATTCTTAAGACTTGGATCAGACTTCATTTTAGAAAATATATCACTTACTGTTTAATAAAAGTACTTTAAATTAACATAATATTTTATCTATGGTCAAAAATGGTCAAAAATGTTTGTACTTTTGTTCGAAAATGGTAATATTTGGTCTGCTAGATTTTTGGTGGATATTAGTCACTAGGGTAGTATATTTCCCCCGCCTTTTCTTTTTCAATCTAGAGACTTTTAATATATCACGCACAACTGGTGTACATTTGAATATTTGATCTGGGCCAAACTTTGCGTTCCTAGTTTGGACTGTACCGCCAATTTACAAATACTGAAGTGGAAGACCTGTGTGATATATTTGTGTGTACTGAATCTGTATTGTTGAAGGTGGGGGGATGCAAGTGGAAGACCAACTAAGGATCGTGAACTCAGCAAATCTCTGTTTAATGTTCGGGAGAGGAGTAAAGACGGAGCAGAGACACCACTCATGAAGGTGATAAATTTTTTTTGTTCTAATAATTGACAAGTTCGATGTTAATTATCCTTTAAAAATCATAAAAAAATAACGCTCTCGATTTAAGTATTAAAAAATATATTTTCATACGATTAATAATAATAGTATAAATGGTGTTTAGGTTGGAAGACTGTTGAAAACTAACAGTATGAATCTTGCAAACCTTAATTTTGGTTGGAGACGGGAAACTTCAGTCTAGTACAGCACTGTACAGTACAACACAATACACTGTACAGTGCACTGTACCAGTTTTTGACTGTACAGAACGGAGCACTTTCAGTACAGCACAATGTGCAGTACAATATATTGTACAGTAAAGAACAATGTAACTAAAACAGTACAGAACAATGTTAAGTAGAGTCTCAGTACAGTACAATACAGTACACTACAGTACGATACAGCTTGTACAATCCACTGTCCAGCACAAACACATTATTCAGATCTTAAACTCCCAGACTATAACGAGGCACCATTCTTCAGTTCAGTTTTAAATATTGTTGTCAGAGTAAATGATCATGTTCAATTCACACCAAGGAATTCCCAGGCTGCTATCGGTAACTAAGTGTTTGTGCCCGAAACCCGTTCAACCTGACACCCTAATATCTCCCTCCCCTAAAGGTGTAAATAAATTGGGCCTTTTTTAGTGCATATAAAGCTGCAGCTACCAAATATTATTTACAATGTTTTAAAAAATGTATTTCAATCACTTTTCCATGTTATAAAACAAAAACATAGTTAATGTGAGTGCAATGGTATTTGGCCTTATAAATTGACCTAAATAACATTGGCTCTAACCCTACTCTACAATGGTTTAATACTTAAAATAAATGCGTATTGTACATTGTACCCGCTTTTAAATGTATTCAAATATTTTGCCAAAAGATGATAGTCTTCTTTAAAAAGCTATGGCTTTCTATGTTGCTGACTAGCTGTGTTTTTATTTACTTTCACAGTCTTCTTTAAAAAGCTATGGCTTTCTATGTTGCTGACTAGCTGTGTTTTTATTTACTTGCACAAAGCTTTATATGCTTCAGCCATCACTAAATATTCATATTACATTACTCATACTAAATTACTTTTCTATAAAACTGTTAATATTTAGTGACTTGCTCTAATTCTCATTAGCTATGTATTTACGATGAAAATCTTGCCTTTTATTGATCTGAAATTATTTGAAACATAACGAAAATAACGAAAATGAATCTGATTTTAAGAAAATTTCAAGTTTTCTCTTGTTAAAAAAATCAAAAACTAGCATTATATGTTCCCAGTGCTATGGAGTTTTAACAAAACTTTAAAACCTAAATAGTATTTATTTAACAAAACTCATGTTTGATATTAAATTATTGAATCTCGAACTTTAATTCCAATATTTGTTTTATGTATAATATGTAATTAAAAATCCCAGTTTTATCATTTTCTACTGAATTTGAAATGAAATGTAAAACATTTTGCCAATTGGAAGCGATCTAATCAACCAGGTTATAATTTTTTAAACTTGCAACAAATGTATCTAATCTATTCATTGTTTTTGTGTAATCCATTCCAATGTAATATTTGATTTATCAATCCAATTTATTTTTGTTTATTTTGTTAATTTTTTTTCTTTTGTATTTTGAATCGCATTATTTTATAGTTTTATCTTACATTATTCAGTATTTACGAGATACTTATCGTCTTTTTTTTTTTAAATCTGAGCTTACATTAATTTTTTATCAGAACACCATTCATTGGTCAATCAATTATTTTAAAATCATCACTTAATTCGTTTGTTAATGGTTTTATGGTTTTATGGTTTTATGGTTTTATGATTTTATGTTGCAGCCTTATACATTTTTTCTGAATTGCTAAATAATCATAATAATAAAGAATAATGTACCTATTTAACATATCCGTCCGAAACAATAAAAAATATATCAAGCAATAAAACACTATTTTGTTAAATAAAAAATGTATGGTAAAAATGTTAAAAAAAAATTCGAATGCAAAAATAAAATAAAAACGCACTGCAAATATATTTTAAAAGGTGTATTTTATAAAGTATGATTTTTTTTCAGACAGAATGAGCAGTTTATCATGTGTAATTAAGCTTCCGTATGTTCAGCCCGCAGCGCGTGGTCTGGATTTACGCAAATCGGAGGGATTTGACGCAAAAATAATTTGTGGCGGCGGAGAGGTTATCCTAGCACACAGGAACATCAGGATCTTATATTGTTTTAGGTCAAATATTTTTTTTGTATATTCGATCTTTGAAACTAGATTTAAATGCTTGTATGTACAATATCTTTGACATTTAAAAAGATTCTTGCCCAATTGACAACGATACCCTTTAAATTTTTGTCTGACAAGAAAATCCGCAAGACACTGTCTGTACGTAAAGAAACCACAAAATGAAAATTATTATTTTTAAACAGAAAATCAAGAATATTCTAATTCTTTTGGTCAGGTTTGAAGGGTATCTGCATATTCCTCTTTAAATAGAGGGTAAATTGAAATTATTCCTACAGTCACTTTCAGAATTTAAAAAGTGCACTGGAAACACCAAAGTGAAAGTTCTGTTTTGTAAAAAGTTAAATGATTTTTTAAACTTGTAAATGTTGATGATTGGTGAAATCTGTAAGAATTTTTCAAATAAATCCCAAGTGTTGTTGACAGGTTAATTTTAGCGTCATCTAGCTCATTCCTTCACAATATAATAAAGGTATAAAAAAGAAATTAAGGAATATTGCTAATTTGAAGAAAAATAATCGTGAATATCATAAATGTTGAACATTTTGTACTTGCTTTAGCACCATTTTTCGTCGGAATTTACTTAAGTGGACTAATCAGACACTTCCTCTTAATACTGTGTCGTAAGCTTCAATGGGAGAAAAATAGAGATGGAAACGTATCTTTAAAAATATCTATATTTTCATAGAAACGATACATATTGTATAATTATAAATAATGATATAAGTATTTTTTATGGGTGCCCCCCTCAGGGGGGGCACTCGTAGGGGGGCCCCCCTTAGTCCGCCCGTGATTTGAAAAGGGGCACACTATGTAATCACATCTTGACGCTGCTCTCCGGCTGTGTAAAAGTGTTTTTTTATTCTAAAAGGTCTTGTAAGCGTAATTTCAATTGACTTTCCATACTAAAAAGACAATGCCCGATTCACAACGGTACCCTTAAACGCTTTGTCTGATCAAGCATTCATTAGATAATAATGTTTATAATTGTGAAAACTATTATTTTCAATTCAGAGTAACTTTACCATTACCACTGAAGGAAAATCAGAATTAAACATTTTTCAAGAACGACAATATCTTCCACATTATTGATAAGATAAAGGTTCCAAGGGTACAGTTGTGAACGGGCATTGCCATCTTTGCCTGGAGGGTCACATGAAAATACGCTTACAGTCTCTTTAAGTGTAGTTTCAAATAGGCGAACACTCTCTTTCTAAGAATTTATCTAGCATTGTCCGATTGGAAGTATCTAAATACGCTTCGCATTATTCTAATTTCTTTTATTATTTTATTGGATATTATTTCAATTGACAATTTATTTAAATAATTTTGTATTTGTTGATTAGAACCTAGGATATAGTGAGGAGGATTTAACCCTGCTATTACCAGATTATAAACCAGTTCATATCAAACAAACCATAGATATAATTTACGGAAGGAAGGCGATTAATTTATCAATTATTATTATTTTTGTTATGATTATTATTAATTATTATTATTATTATTATTATTATTATTATTATTATTATTATTATTATTATCATTATTATTATTATTATTATAATCAATTTCCCGGAATCTCGTTCAACTTGGATTTGGGGATTTCCTAAACCTTTCTTCATTTATAAATAAAGACGACTTTGAAGTGGAACCAAAAGTGGACGTTGATAACTTTACGCCGGAAGATTCTCTTCCAATGGAAGATGTTTTGAATTATCTTGAGATTAAAAAAGAAGATATTGAAGAAGATAACGAAGATGAATATAAACCTAATCTTGAAACAAGTTATTCTTGTGATTTATGTGAATATTCATCAAAATCTTTACGCGGACTAAACCTACACAAAGGGACAAGTCACGAATATGCCAAGTACACCTGTCATATCTGCAATCATGGATTTAATTCTAAATATGGCCTGCAAGCACATTCAAAGCGTAAACATGGATTGAAAACTTTTAAATGTGATCGCTGTGAATTAAAAGTTGATACTTTAAAACAATTGATAAAACACAGAGGAACACATAAAGATAAACCCTATACTTGTGATTTATGTGATTTTAACTCTTTATCTCTTGGTGATTTTTCCAGGTAATGATTAATTTTTTTTTTTTTTTTTTTTTCATAATATATTTTATGGCCATCAATTCAAGTAACCTTGAAACCATTATTTAATCAATGATATGGAAGATATCGCCGTTTTTTTTAGCATGATAAGTATTGATTTCTCATCATTTTCCTCCATTGTTTCTGTAGTAAGAAATCCGCAGGTCATTCGAGAAACCACATTTGTAAATGACCAAGTTATTAAAGAGGTTCAACGATGCTTTTAGGGATACTGTTGTGATTTAGACATGCCACGCAACACACTATAGATAAAGCGTCATTTAAAATTTTTAAATGACGCATTCAGTCCCTTTAATATTATTTTAATGATTTCATAACAGGCAAATACTTTTATAAATTTTATAAATATAAATTTTATTAATTTATTATTATTAGTTTAAAGAAAAAAACTTTAGAAGGATTTTTAAGCATTTTTTTTCTGTTGAAAATCAGATATTTCAACGCTAGGATAATCAGATATTTCAACGCTAGGATAATCAGATATTTCAACGCTAGGATAATCAGATATTTCAACGCTAGGATAATCAGATATTTCAACGCTAGGATAATCAGATATTTCAACGCTAGGATAATCAGATATTTCAACGCTAGGATAATCAGATATTTCAACGCTAGGATAATCAGATATTTCAACGCTAGGATAATCAGATATTTCAACGCTAGGATAATCAGATATTTCAACGCTAGGATAATCAGATATTTCAACGCTAGGATAATCAGATATTTCAACGCTAGGATAATCAGATATTTCAACGCTAGGATAATCAGATATTTCAACGCTAGGATAATCAGATATTTCAACGCTAGGATAATCAGATATTTCAACGCTAGGATAATCAGATATTTCAACGCTAGGATAATCAGATATTTCAACGCTAGGATAATCAGATATTTCAACGCTAGGATAATCAGATATTTCAACGCTAGGATAATTATTGTTTTAACATATTTTCTATATTTTAGACACAAACAGTCTCAGCATGGAGAGAATAAATCTAGGTAAAAATAAAAAACAATAATAAAAAATGAATTCTTGAAGACTCGATCAATATTGGGATTAATTGTAAATGTTAGGTATATTTGTGATCAGTGTGAATACAGCACTTCTCATCTTTACATGTTAAAGAGACACTTGAAGATTGTACACGAAGGTAGGAATTCATCAAACATAAAATATAGAGTTAGTTAGTCCTTTAATCCGCTTCCTAAAACTTTTTAAAGTAGTTTTTACCTTTTAATATTTTATAAGATTTTGGCAACAATAAGGATATCGTTGTAATAAAACAAGACATTCATATATATATACTGCGTATAGCCGGCCAAACAGCTGGACCAATTGGGCTGAAATTTTTTGTGGACACTCACGAGGGGCCGGGGAACGTTAAAGGCTAAAAAAAATTTGAAATTTGTTTTTCTTAAAATTTTTTTAATTTTTAATTTTTATTTTTTCCACGGTCATCACCGGGCCCTTCAGAGTATAGAATATAAGAATAGTTCAATGCTTAGGATTGAGAATTCCATGCGGACAATGTGAATTTGCTGCAACATCCCAGACGTACTTAAAGAGACACATTGAAACAATACACGAGGGGAAAAAGTTGTATTGTGACCAATGTGAATATGTTGCAGCACACCCGGGCACTTTGAGAAATCACATTCAAAGCAAGCATAAAGGTGTAAAACATCACTGTGATAAATGTGAGTTTGTTACAAGCTACAGGGATAAACTAACACAACATATTAAAACCAAGCATGAAGGTGTCAGGTTTCCCTGTGAAGTGTGCAACTATGCAGCAACCAGAAATGAATATTTAAAGAAGCATATGGAGGAGAAGCATCCAGCACTGTAGTGTATAACTTAAAAATAAAAACCTGTTGAAAATTTTTAATAAAAAAGTTTATTATCAAGTTGTTGACTTTAAAAGTCACTATAATAAAATAAAGAGATCTAAAATGGATATTTCTAACATTTATTTAAAAAAACGAGTGTTTTGAAATATTTGCATTTAAGGCGGAGTTAAAATTGGTTGATTTAGAAATTAACAAAGGAATTATGGATGGATATTTGATGGTACTTCATGGGAGTGTTGTAGAGCTTCATGTTGGTGGAGCAGATCAACAGGAACTGGGGCAACAGGGCTTATCCAACCTAGTAGGCAGAGATCGCGGCTTTATCATGCTGGATTTGAGCGATTATGTTGTCTCTGGAAGTGGAGTGCATGATAAACTGGGAACCCTCGGATAAGACCGTCTGCTGCTAACTGAGTATCTGCGTCATCATCATAAAGGAGTCAAGAGGCTCCCTGTGTCGGAGCTGTTACTAGTTCAACTGTCCTAACATGACTGACTGGGATGTGTTATAGAGGGGTGAGGTGGGGAAAGAAGGAGCGAGGGTTACATGTGTGTACTTCATGGCGGAAATGGATCTTGTGTACAGACGCATCTTGAGAAAAGGCTATGGCATTTGGGTCGGAAAAATCGTCTTCCTTATATTTCGAATTTATTTTAACACAAGTGCATGTTAATGTCTAAAAAAAATTTTTACTTTTGCTGAGTATGTTTTTTGTTTCCTTTTTCTGTAATAAATTTTGTATTCGTATACAGAACAGGTAAATTTACTCTTCATTAACTCATTAATTCATTAATCAGATCAAACTCAAACTCTTAATTTATTTTTAATCTCTTTTAATTGTCTATTTAAACCTATTTATTTCCTCTTTTTACATACTTACATCAATTAAAGATATCGCCAGAATTTGAGCCGCGTCTTAAATTTAAGTTGCGGTTTAATTATGGTTGGTTCAACTTAAAATCGTATTCATTGTTTCAAGTTTTAAGCCGGCGCTCAGTTAAAATCGGCTTTTTGCAGATTTAAGAATCGGCTCAAATTCATTAAATTCGGACACAGGTTATTTTGATAAAACTCTTTTCTCTTTTCTAGACTAATTTTACATAGATAATTCATAATTGGATTATTTTAATCTTTTTTATATAAACCCAGACAAAGAATGTTTGTAATTTTTCCTACTTAATGCAATTTACAATGGCATCTTTTAAAACTATTTAAAAACGGTTGAATCATATTTATTGATATTTCTAAAATATATAACATGAGCTTCAAACAAAGTACTTTTCAATTAAATGAAAGGTCATTTAAAAATTACGCTTACAGTCCCTTTAGATAAAAAGAATTTATCATTACCCGTTTACACCATACATCTCAATTTATTACACAAAGCCAAGTTAAAGAAAAAAGAAGCTAATTTCACAAATTTTGCTGCACACTTTCACAGCAGTCTTATCTACTTATAATCACAGATTTGGAGCAATAGAGTTTAAAGAGTACATAGCACATTCAAAACCCAGGAAACAGAAAGCATTGGCAGGGAAGGCTCTAAAAGATAACTTTAATAATTTTGATAATACAAGCAGGTTAAAAAAAGACTTCTTTCAACAAGTGTTTTAAGTTTATTTCATTGATTCAAGACAGTTTTGAAAATTGGGTTCACAAAAAAAATAAAGGCCTATTTAAATTAAATAAAGCTTGCAACAATACTCAACTTTCTGAAAAACTATTGAGATGTTTCAAAGCTGTAAAAGTAAAACGTTTATAAATGTTTTAACCTGAGAAGGACAGGAACAGCTCCCTTGTATAGACCCCTGGCTCCATCCTCAGCTAGCAGTTTTCTAAGTACATCCATCGTTCCTAAACAAGATCGAAAAGTAATATCAAGGAAAATTGTTTGTTATTGTTGTTACGCAAAACTAATTCTCCTGCAGTCCAAAAACGTCACAGCAAAGTGTACGGAAACCCTATCGCCCCCACTTTCTATTCAATTCTCCTTGAGTAATATGATTATACATGTTTTGCAGACGGTACTTCATTTGAATAAGAAAAATATTTGTCTGATGTACAATTACCGCGTACACAATAATCTATTCTGAATATTTCTTACACAAATGGACTGCGCCCGTCTGCGAAGCATGTATAATCAAATGGTAGGGCGAATCTCCCCTTTATTCTCAACTCCTTGCTTTCAACATTGGTAGCTTAATATGTATCATATGACTTACAAAGGATATAGGTTAGAAAAGAAATAGTAAGATATAACTTCAAAGGATATTGTAATATTTAAGTGAAAAAGAATATACTATTATAAACCCCATTGTTATTTCCATAATCTAATTTGATATATATATATATATATATATATATATATATATATATATATATATATATATATATATATATATATACATGTTTAAAGGTATGTAGATAATTGAAATGATGTTAGGTATATGATCATTTTTCAATATGCTATTACAGCTTTGTCAATGATGAAAAGGGTGTCCTATTAGCTCGTGATAGCTCTAAATTGTGATTTTTGGTCTTTAAAAAGATTATAACACCATAATAAAACAAAGAGAGAAGGCTAAAAGAAAATATATGCAAACAAGGTTTTTGAGTATATTATGTGTATTTTGGGCCTGGGGTTTAAGCTTGTAAATAATCAAATATTATATGATATTGGACACTTTGTACCTGAGTAAGTTCCAGTTGGAGCCGACTGTAATCTACTCTTCACAACATCAGCTGGAATAGCAACCAACCAATTACAAACACCAGCTGTACCACCAGCCAATAGGGTTCGTCCTACACCTATCTGGGACCTAGAGAGATAAATTCAAATGGCAGACTATACAAAATTTTGTAAGAGAATACTGAATTGTGTGGACAAACATTTAATTCTAAAATAGCACAGAAAATTTTAATATTATCTTTAGTTTAATCTGCACAAAACAAAATAAGAAAGAAAAAACTTGTTGTAAGTTGTAACAAACCGTGATAATTTTTGATAACTAAAATTTTATCATTTTTCGTAATCTATATATAAATTTGGCTTGTCTGTTTGTCTGTTTGTCTGTTTGTCTGTCTGTCTGTTTGTATCCAATAAACGTCAAAACGGCTGAACCGATCGGGCCCAAATTTTTTGTGGGACATCTAGGGACCCCAGGGAAGGTTTATGAATGATTGAAATTTTAAAAATTTATGTTTTAGAGGTTTTTAATTTTGTAAAAAAAACTTAAATTTTTGAAAATCCGCGAATTTTTTTTAAAAATCCGAAAAACTTTTTTCATCTTTCTTTTGAAATGTAAAGAAAAAGAACATGTTCACAATTTAAATAGAAGATGGGCGCGAAGCGCCCTAAAAGCCTAGAAAGAAGGGCGCGAAGCGCCTTGAATTTCTAGTATCATTAAATAGCATTAATTTTGAACAAGAATTTCCCTTGATGCCATATACCTGTCTCCGTCAGGAGCCAGTCTTCGTTGTATAAGTTCATAAGATGCATAGAAGGCAGCAGATGCAGGAATATCACGTGCTAAGGTAGCAACTGTACCTGATAACAACACATTTTATTTGTGACTGCGTCAAAAACTATAAGTATAGAATTTTATAATATTTTACCTACCTTAAATCATACAAAATCATTTTTGGATATGTTACAAAACTGAGCCAATGACGTGCTTAAAAAGGTTCTTGTGGGCAAGAATGATTCAATATATTATGTTCTACAAAATTAGTTTTGCCGTTATTCACCAAAAAAAAACAAGATTTATTGTAAAACAACTTAGTTAACCAATTACTGCGCTAAAACATTGGCGGATTCAGTTTTACTCAAAACATCCGGTTTTCTTAAAATTCCGTGGATCTTATTTCATATTTTTAAAAATTGTCTACAAACAGGGGAACAATATAAAAATCACCTTTATAGAGACTAGACAATCCTCCTTCAGCAATAAGTGCTTTAATTACATGAACAGGTCCCTTGTATTTTACACTAAACATGGTGTAATTAGTGTTTAATTACATGAACAGGACCCTTGTATTTTACACTAAACATGGTGTAATTAGTGTTTAATTACATGAACAGGTCCCTTGTATTTTACACTAAACATGGTGTAATTAGTGTTTAATTACATGAACAGGTCCCTTGTATTTTACACTAAACATGGTGTCAGTATATAATTAGAAGAATAAATTAATTTTACCAAATATGTTTAATGAGTTATATTTATGTCTCACTTCAAACACTTCAGCAAAAAGGATAAAAATAAATTGTTAAACACTGAAAAAAAATTATTTCTACAACATATCTCAATCAAATTATAATAACAAAATCATATAACAAAATCATATGTATTTAAAATGATGTCGAACATTTTAATACAAAAATTCAAATCTATTTTTAAGAACAAAATTTCTCAAATATTCTTCACATTTTGAAATGAAATATTTCTTCATTATTAAAGTATTATGTCACTCATACTACAACTATGAATAAATGAGATATGATAACAATTAAATATTGAAATGTAAAAATTTTTCCTTTAAAAACCTGTCAGCAGCCTGTGCTCCTTGCTGGACCTGTAGGACGCACTTGATCCTTTCTCCTGGTGCCATAACTACTGTAGCCACCATACCTACAATGGGACTAATAGGAAGACGACATTTAAACAATCTTGTGTGCCTTTTTATAATAAGTAGTAATCTCTGTTTGTGTGTTTGTATGTTTGATCATAGCTCATGAACGATTTGCCTCAAATTTTGATTGAGACACTCTGTAGAACAGGGAATGTTCTTAGATTGGTTAAACTTGTAAAGGTAAAGTGTAGTTTCAGGGCAAAGCAGGGTTTCCAAGCTTGTATTTGATAAGCTATGAAGCAATTAGGTTTACCAATATCTTGATTATTTAGTGAGACGGGTCTGTGTACACTGCACAATTGCAACAGTTGTTACCTTAATCAAGGATTAAATGGTTTGAACTATATCAAATTATATATTTATGTAAAACTAATATTGTTTAAAAATTATGTTAAAATATGTTGCTGATTTATCATCATTCTTATGTTTAAAATGTACAATGTACATTGTTTTTATCTGCAATTCTCATTCGTTTATAGTGGGCCAACCAATTAAAACAACCTACTCTGGTTAGGCGGGTCCAAACTACATAGTAAATTGTGATTTTTTATTTGTATTATCTCTTGCTTTGTAGTTGAATAAAATATGAAATATATGAAATGAATTCTATATATATATAATTGAATAAATAAAATGTTTACCTGTAAACCCTCCAGCTACAGCTAGTTTCAAGGGGGAGGGGGGGTAATTAAATAAATATAATGTTTACCAGAAAACCCTCCAGCTACAGCTAGTTTCAAGGGACCAAGCGCCTCATCTGGGTGGGATTGCTGAAGCTTCTTTCCCAAACCAAACCCCATAAATCTGGCGAGCAAAAAATATCAGTTGTTCCAGTATTCAAATCATTTTTTTTGTTAATAAAAATTATAAATGATCTGTTTAACAGGATGTGATATGTGAATTTAAGAAAAGAAAACTCTTACTGCCGGTTCAACTATTTCTATTTTTTACCCGAGAGCGAAGATGGGGGTTGCTCCGACCACAGGGGCCGCCATTCCCTAAAATTTAGAAAATTTATTGAATTAGTTTTTTTTATTCTAGTCATCTAAGAACTCTAAGCTCCAAAAATCAGGGGAAACTCCCCCCTCCCCCCCCCCACCCATTTTGGTGTTTGATTAAAAAACTAGATCACAAATCAGGCCTGCATATGAAAAAATAGTGATAAATCTTTGAAAACGAATCAGAAGACCCCAATTTGCATGGAAATGTGCATTTTTTCATTTAATAAATGTAACTGTGTCTGTTTTAGTAATCTGCGCGCAAACATATTTACTTTTGTTTCATAAGATTTTAAAGCTCTGATGAGAAAATTAATTTATTTTTCAAAGACCGTCGTGAAATTTTTTTGTTTGTTTGTTCTCTCAAACATTAAGAATAAAGATGCATATTAACCTAAAATATTTTTTGCCTCCTCATTCATTTTATGGTCTCAAAACAACACATAATTAGTAAAATTTTAGGCTGCAAACTCTTTTGGGGAGCACTGTATATAGTGTATACTCAGCCTTATATAGTGCTCGGACTGTATATAGTGTATACTCAACCTTATATAGTGCTCGGACTGTATATAGTGTATACTCAACCTTATATAGTGCTCGGACTGTATATAGTGTATACTCAACCTTATATAGTGCTCGGACTGTATATAGTGTATACTCAACCTTATATAGTGCTCGGACTGTATATAGTGTATACTCAACCTTATATAGTGCTCGGACTGTATATAGTGTATACTCAACCTTATATAGTGCTCGGACTGTATATAGTGTATACTCAACCTTATATAGTGCTCGGACTGTATATAGTGTATACTCAACCTTATATAGTGCTCGGACTGTATATAGTGTATACTCAACCTTATATAATGCTCGGACTCCTTCATGTTGAACTGTTTTCTTTACACAGTCTACTGTTCCACTGTACAACGGATTTCTAAGAAAAAATATGTTAAAGGGTATTTTAGACGTTATTTCAATCAAAGGAACTGTAGACGTTATTTCAAGTGACTCTCCATTTAAAGAGTGGGCCTTAGCATGTCTGATGCATAACGGCACCTTTCTCTGATCAAGGATAACGAAATTATCCTTATTTTTCTAACTAAAAATATAATAGTACGGCAAACTCGAATTTACACTGGTACTGGTTAAAAGTATAAAGTTGTAATTCTCTTAAAATTACGTATTGCATGCCCTTACGCTTAAATACAACTTCTTTAAAAGAATAATGTATAATTTCTTTGTGTAAAAAAAATGATTTGAGATAATTATCGCTTCTCCTGTTTTCTGTTAAGTTCTTTATCATAAAAATAATCAAAATTATACCTGGTAGATTGAACCAGGTATACCTGGTAGACCTGATATACCTGGTAGATTGAACCAGGTATACCTGGTAGATTGAACCAGGTATACCTGGTAGATTGAACCAGGTATACCTGGTAGATTATACCAGGTATACCTGGTAGATTGAACCAGGTATACCTGGTAGATTGAACCAGGTATACCTGGTATACCTGGTAGACCTGGTATACCTGGTAGATTGAACCAGGTATACCTGGTAGATTGAACCAGGTATACCTGTTAGATTGAACCAGGTATACCTGGTAGATTGAACCAGGTATACCTGGTATACCTGGTATACCTGGTATACCTGGTATACCTGGTAGATTGAACCAGGTATACCTGGTAGACCTGATATACCTGGTAGATTGAACCAGGTATACCTGGTAGATTGAACCAGGTATACCTGGTAGACCTAGTATACCTGGTAGATTGGACCAGGTATACCTGGTAGATTGAACCAGATATACCTGGTAGACCTGGTAGATTGAACCAGGTATACCTGGTAGACCTAGTATACCTGGTAGATTGGACCAGGTATACCTGGTAGATTGAACCAGGTATACCTGGTAGACCTGGTAGAGCTGGTATACCTGGTAGATTGAACCAGGTATACCTGGTATACCTGGTATACCTGGTAGATTGAACCAGGTATACCTGGTAGATTGAACCAGGTATACCTGGTAGATTGAACCAGATATACCTGGTAGACCTGGTAGACCTGGTATACCTGGTATACCTGGTATACCTGGTAGATTGAGTTTGAAGACGAACTTTAATTGTATCAAATGGATGTCCTGAGACTATAGCAGCCACGCCTCCTACTCCACCTACAAAATATAAAATACATTATCTATATTTTAAGAAATATTTTCCAAGATTGTTCCAAAGGAATTGAGTCTTTGCCACAAACTCTGATTTTCTAATCCTTATATCTTTGCAAACCCAATGTTATAGACTTAAAATATTTTAAACTATGAATTCAGTTATTTAAAATAATCTAAGTTTGAAATATCAAAGGTCCAAGCCATCAGGTTGCAAAAATTTGAGTTTGTGGCAAAAACTCAATTCCTTTAGAGGAAATGCCCTAAACTAAATATGCAGTATAAAATAAAAAGGAATTGTAAACTTCCTAAAACTCAAATTGCCTTATCCCTCTATCTTTGCAAAGCTTTCGTACTTCAAACTATAGAATTCTGTAGAATCGAATGTTAAAGGGACCGTTCACTTATTTGGGTAATTTCAGGGTAAACTGAACTGCCTATTCGCTCTTGATTGGTAATAGTCTTACTTTTCAAAGACAACTGTGACCGGAGAAAAAGCCGATTTTTCGTTCAGAATTTGAGCGGAAAGGGACGGTCCCTCTCTATAGACACTATTTGATGTTTTTTTCAGTAACAGCAGCCCAATAACATTTAAATTTATCATATTTCAATGTCATTATGTGTTCGTTATTATGTACTAAAATATTAAAACTTTTGATATTTGAGTTAGCAAGAAATTAACGTTTTTCGTATTAAAACACGTAAACTGTGTATACAAAGACGACGTCTCTACGACAATCAATTAATCATGACTCGTATTTTGGTTCGTAGATTTTGTAGATTTTGTTCGCGTATGTGCACAACTTTTCATTTGTCATTCCGCGTTCAATTCAGCTTTTACACAGGCAATACACAATTTTGAATGCGATGAAATAGTGTTATTTTAGAAATAGAAAGTTAAAAAACAACAAAAATTAAAAAATAATGACATTTACAATTAACGATTAGATACTACAGTTTAATTTTATATTCGAAATTTATTTTGATTCACAACATACTGAAAAAAACATCAATTAGTGTCTATAGAGAGGGACCGTCCCTTTGCGCTCGAATTCTGAACGAAAAATCGGCTTTTTCTCCGGCCACAGTTGTCTTTGTAAAGTAAGACTATTACCAATCAAGAGCGAATAGACAGTTCAGTTTACCCTGAAATTACCCAAATAAGTGAACGGTCCCTTTAAAGCTTAATATCATCTGGTTGCAAAGATATGGAGATTATACATTTTTACCTGATATGAAATTTTTCACTTCAGATACTCTTTGTTTTTCACTCATAGTTCTATTTATTCTATAGATAGTAATTCGACGTAATAAAACATTACTACGACGCGACACAGTTATAGCTCGGTCATATTTCACTTAAATGCGGAGCAATATATATCGAATCATAGGTTTGTAAATGTTTGGTAGGAAAAACTAGAAAACGTGAAGAATTAATTTATAGAAAGTGTTTTTCATTGTTCTTTTCTCGTGGACTAAAGTTTTTTTGTGATTTTCAGAATATTTCTGGAAAATTTTGAGATGAAATTTTTTTTCTTATGGAAAGCTAATAAAAAAGTTTGAACATTTAACGCATTTTTAACATATAAATAGAACTATGTAATATGTATGTAATTATTTTAAAGCAATGATAAGCCTGTTATTTGGTTTTGAACGAAAAAATGAACTGAAAATTGTTAATAAATTGTTCTTCTGTAGTTCAGAGAAAGTATTTCCTTGAAACTGTTTATGCATATTTTATTTATTGAAAATATTTAAAATGTTAAAAACAAGTTAATCTGCTTTCTATCTCTCTAACTCTCGATAACATCATGCATTTATCACATTGTACAAATTTTTCCTCTTACTCTTAAGATATATGTCTGTATGTTTATGTTTGAATTTTTGTATGCATATATATATAGTATAAAAATAGTTTAACAACAGTAAATAATAATTTTGTATCTACATGCATTCCCTAAAGTTTCGCCAAATTGAGATAAAAAATACTTCCAAATTTCCAAAAAAATATTTTATTAAAAGTGTTTCAATATTTTTTTTACGAAATTCAGTAAAATTAAATGTTAAGATGTTTTCAATCACAAATCCTTTTACTGAAAAGCTACTGAGAAGAACAATACTGTTTTGAATTCCTAATATGTATTGAAATCGAATAAATAAGTTTTTATACATGCGTGTGCGTAAAATCAAAACTAGAGGAACTGCACACGCACCTCTGCCCCTGTAGTAAAAGTAAATATTTAACCTTTATATGAAGCATAAAGTCTGACCGCGTCACCCTTGTTGCACTGGCTAGTCCTATCCATAGAGCTGGGTATAGTACAAACTAGGACTAGAAAGGTTGACATGGCTCGGAAATTAAAATGTACTACGGCTGCCCGTGTACAAAGTTACTTTCGATCAAAGACTTTGCTAATTACAGCTAAATACAGCTGTGCTGGCGTACACAATAGTCGGATAAATTTCCAACGCCTTGTCTTTATAATTAGCAAAGTCTTTGTTTTAGATGATGTGATATCACATGAAGTTTACTGAACCCTTCTATCTAGTTTACGCTGTAGTTTGACAAGTTGATCTTAAACTGTGGTGTATGACCGGCAGATGCTGAGAAACTTGGATAACCAAACGATAATTAGAAACTAGAAAGTTAAGATTAACTATTATATATGTTTGGCCGATGTAAATAGAAAGTGCGGGATATTTATTTTGTCTTGTGGTTTGTGATGGTACATTTTTGTGGAGACATTTTTGATGGTACATTTTTGTACATTTTTGATGGTACATTTTTGTGGAGACATTTTTGATGGTACATTTTTGTACATTTTTGATGGTACATTTTTGTGGAGACATTTTTGACTTCAAAAATTGTCGTAGGATGATTTAGAAAAATAACATCAAGTTCACATTAAAAATGATAAAAACAAGATAATTTAGAAATAAGGCAGAAAAATTAGTGATATCACAAAGGATGAGACTTCAGGCACTGTACAAAATTTATGATTCCCAGCAACTATAACCTTGTTTATTTCTGTACCAAATCTTCAAAAAGAAAACAATAAAAGCTTTGTATTGTCAGATTTAAAGAATTTCAGGTCGTCTTCACAGTCTCATCCTTTGTGGGTAACTCTGTAAAGCAAAGTGACCGGAGATGAAAACTTTAAAATGAGATATCCTTAATCCACATCTCCTAATCGAGTATCCAATGTACACACTTTTGATTTTCTTCTTAATCCTCTATTTTGGATATCCCTACTTGTATAAAATTTTGCTGTCGGATAGGAACAAGATTCTCATTAATGAACAGATAGACAACGGAATAACCCTCAAATCAAAACCGATAATGCAGAAAACTCTTTATTTCCTAAAAAATGAAATGGATAATAATGCATGAATTTGTTACAAAGTTTTATTATTTTACAATGAAAAGATTCTTACGATCTATTTAGGGATGAGAAGGTTAAACTGTCGGGGAGTCCTAAGACGTTTTTATATATTAAAACTTCTGAAAAGAATGACAATTAATTGTTAACGAAATTCACTAATTCTTTATATGAAAATATTATGTTCACAATAATAAAAGTGTTTAGACTCCGTTACGGGAGAACAAAGAGAATGGTGCGAAAATTATTTGGTTTGGTGTCTCCGAGAGGGGATTTTAAGTTAAAGACGACATTACATGGATGGGCGGGGGGGTCTTGTAGTTAATGGTTGACAAATTTACGTTTGATAAGAAATACAGATACGATGCTATATCGATTTGACCAATTGAACTTTAGTCAGCTGTTCACCAGCAGGCTTTTTGAGCATTTAAACAAATATAAATTTAACCATGTTAACATGAACTTATTTAAAAACATATTTTATCATATTTGAACGTTAGTCTTAATGTTTTAAATCCTATAACTTGCAATCTGATTTAGTAGAACTTTGATATTTCAGTGTTCAGTTTCAATGTTTACTATCCCATGACCCTGGTCATTTAACTGAATCAGTATAGTTAATAGATACAAATCTATTTATTTATGATTGTGTAAAACTTTTTTTATCTGTTCATGAATTCTGAAGTGGCGTCAGTGTTCTTAGATAAATTATCACATTATAACTCACAAGAATAAAAAACATTTCATTATAACTCATAAGAATAAAAACAAAATTTTGTAAATAATTTATTTATGTATTAAAAAAGTTATGGATTTGCAATCAAAAACTTTTTTTGATCAAAGTTGTATTCATAAAAATCAAACTTAAAATACACATTTAACATTAAAACAATGATACATATTTATCTTAAAAATTTAAATACAATGGTAGATAACTAACATAAAATATTCTTTAATTTGCTTCAGAAATGTCACTTAATTGTAATTTGAAATTGAAACTGGTTTTCGGGGGATTTGAGACGCGGCTTAAATTCATTAAATTCGGACACAGGTCACTTTTTAGAATTAGTTCAGTTGCAAATTACAAAATCTCTAGCGACAATTTATGATTAAAAGTAAAAAACAACGAGAATTCTACTTTTTTCTGGTTCTCACTGTATAACATTTAAATCTTTAGCCACATTTTTAATAAAAAGAAAGAATGTGACAACTTCAATAAAAATATAAAAATCTTTAATGATTTTACTATAACGTACTTCTTCAATCTGATTTAAATGTTTTATTTTCGACTCTTAACGTTGGCAAGGTTAGTTGAGGGTAGCACTGATCTTTCTATTAATAGTTGCAGAAACCCTGGATACCTTTCTAAACATACAATATCAATTAGCTTTCTATTAATAGTTGCAGACACCCTAGATACCTTCTTGAACATAGTTACAACATTACAAGGCTTTCTAAATTCAAACCTTTATTAGGTACGTTATTATTGATCAATATTTTTAAATTTGTTTCAGCGGAAATTTGCGCGTTTTTTCTACGTAAGGAATGCGCAAAAATACTGAATTTGCGGCGGAACAAAATATTTTTGCGCAACGATTTTTCCATTCCGCTGGAAACCTTATTCGAGAATCCATAATATATGATTTGCATGGTAGCGTTTTAAACTTGACTATGATCTTGCCATTATTGTTGACCTTAGCTTTGAAATTGACCTGAAGATTTATAAACCCTTTGACCCTGATAATGACCTTGACAATTATATTTACCTTGAGCTTTCAAAACACCCTGACCTCGATTTTGACCTAGAGATTTACCTCTAATCACCTTGACCCTGATAATGACCTTGACAACTGTATTTACCTTGAGCTTTCTAAACACTCTGACCTTGATTTTGACCTAGAGATTTACTTCTAAACACCTTGACCCTGATAATGATCTTGACAATTATATTTACCTTCAGCTTTCTAAACTCCTTGACCTTGAGATTTACCTCTAAGCACCTGGAACTTGATTATGACCTTTAAATATTCGTTAACACTGAAACTAACCTGTCAATGGAAGTTTTCCTGAAGAACTCCGATATTTTCCTTCTTGCTCCTCCTTTCTCTGGAGCCAGCTTAGCTCTAGTAGTAAATGGTTCAGCGCTTGTATTGAGAACTTTCTTGGAAGAGATAAAAAAATCCGCAGAAAAGCCGGCAGTTTTCTCAATACTTTTTAAGGCGTTCTTGATTTTTAAGAAAAAATAGTTCGAAAGTTTGGTTGCTAAAATTCTAGAAGGTTGGCCTTTTGACACGGATTGCTCCTTTATACTTACCCCCGTGGTGTATGACCGGCAGATGCTGAGAAACTTGGATAACCAAACGATAATTAGAAACTAGAAAGTTAAGATTAACTATTATATATGTTTGGCCGATGTAAATAGAAAGTGCGGGATATTTATTTTGTCACCTATTAAAGGTTGAACTTGATTAATGATTATGCCGATTTACCTTTTTGATATTGCTTGCGCTTCCTCTTCAGATAGCAGAGCAATATCTTCTACTCCATGTACACCCAATACAATCTGTACATAAATATATATTGTACTCCATGTACACCCAATACAATCTGTACATAAATATATATTATATTCCATGTACACCCAATACAATCTGTACATTAATATATATTATAATCCATGTACACCCAATACAATCTGTACATTAATATATATTGTACTCCATGTACGCCAAATACAATCTGTACATAAATATATATTATACTTCATGTACACCCAATACAATCTGTACATTGATATATAGTATGCTCCGTGTACACCAGATACTATGCGTACATGAATATATATAATACTCCATGTACACCCAATACAATCTGTACATAAATATATATCATACTCCATGTACACCCAGTTCAATCTGAACATTGAACAGTGGTAAACCCAGTACAATCCGTACATAAATATATACTATACTCTATGTACACCCAATACAATCTGTACATTGATATATAGTATGCTCCGTGTACACCCGATACTATGCGTACATGAATATATATAATACTCCATGTACACCCAATACAATCTGTACATAAATATATATCATACTCCATGTACACCCAGTACAATCTGTACATAAAATTTGTACTTCATGTACACCCAACACAATCAGTACGTAAATGTATAGTATACTCCATGTCACCCAATACAATCTGTACATGAATAAATATTATCCTCCATGTACAGTGTACACCCAATACAATCTGGGAAAATATATATAATAATCCATGTACACCTAAGACTATCTGTACATAGATATATATATTATACTTCATTTACACTAGGGTTAGCAGCTAACATAACGTTTCGCGAAAAATGCGAAAGTTTTCGTTCGTATTTTGCAAACTTTTTCGCGAAAATGAGTGAAGCGAAAATATGAAAATGAAATGAGTGAAATTTCGCGAAGAAAAAATTTTCGAAAAATATTTTCGTGAAAATTTTGCCATTCGTGAAAACAGGTGCTGAAGCTGTATTTAGTCTTTTTTGATGAATTTTCGAAAAAAATTTATATTTTTTTTTAAATTCCGATTTTTTTTGTGAAATTTTTGATTTTTCCTTTTCGCTGCAAACCCTAATGTACATCCAATACAATCTGTACATAAATATATATTATACTCAATGTATGTACACCCTGGCTTGTAGTGAGGTGTGTACCCCAATTGAATCTGTATATAACTTTTTTTGATATCAGAAACAATATGTACCAAAATACATTGTACAGTAAACACTACAAATTTTTAGTAATGTAAATAATGTGTACATAATGACATTAATCCTGATCTCTTACCTGTACTTGAGACTGTTCCTGATCATCTCCTTCATTCTAGGATTTAATTCGTTAGTTTTTAGTTCCAAAATTATTCACCCCTTCACTTGACCACGACCTTTATTTACCTGCGGTTTGACCTCGTCCGGGTTGTACCGAGTTCCTGACCTCAACCCTTTCTAAACATTTAGTTATTATCAAGGTATTTGAGTTCAGTGGTAACCAGACAAATGTGGAAAGATTGTCGTCTTCCTTCTTTCTTCGAATAAAATGTCACTAAGAATTTTGCAATTTGTTAATGTTTAAACCGTTGTAAAATTTAAACATATCAGTCAAAAATTATACAATCTTTAGCCACATTTATCACTTCTCTCTTGATACCACTGTAACACAGTAGCTCTATTTTATAAAAAAATGTTATTTTTGAACGAACTATTATACCTTGACAAACTTGACTTTTAGTTTGCAGGACCTGAAATAAAGCATTAGATATTGAAAATGATTAAAAGCTCTTGTATTTTCTAATCTACTACCTATCTACATACCTACCTACTCCCTTCCTACCTACCTACCTACATACATACATACCTACCTACCTACCTACCTACCAACCTACATACATACCTACCTTATAGGATAGGATGCTCTCCAACTAAAATTGTGATATTGTTACGCATCTTAATTGTGTAAAAAATACCAAATATTTTAGAAGTAATTTGTTAGATGTCATTAAGTATAGTTTTTAAATAGTCTAAAGCAGAATTGTAGGCCGGTGAAGTGAGCAAGGCTCAAAAACCTTGGTTTGATGGGGCCAAAAAATTGCAAACCTAACTTTGCAATCTGTTTTTAGATAAAGTTTATTTACAAAGATAATATCAAAATTATTCATTTCTTACGGCAAATTACGTAAAAAAAAAAACAAGTCTTTGGTGAGAGATTATGAGATATGCGTCCGAAAATCTTTTTAAATTATAGAAAAGACGACATTCTGTGTCTTCTTAATTAAACCAATTGAGGCGTCTGGTTTTGGTTATAAATCCCAATGCTTACTCGTTATATTAGTCAAAACCTACCTACCTACCCATATACAATGATACATACCTAGTATCCAGAGGTATCTGTTTATCCCTGTAAACTAGAAGTATGTCTGGGTACACTTCGCTCATGTTATACTAATCAAATTAAAGTTTTTTTATATATATAAATATATAAGATGTTTATGATGTTAAAGTAAGTTATAAACTGACCTTATAAAATAGGTTAGTTTTTGGGTGCCTCAAAGTATCGATTGGGAGCTCAGTTTTACTAAACAAAATAATAATGAATAAAATATGTATATTTCATATGAAGTTTTCACTTTTTAGTCAACCTTGTTCAAGAAACTTAAAAACTGACTCTTGTTATCGTGTTATACTTAACGAGCGCTAAAACTCAACTTTAACGATTCATGTTCTGTTTCGTTTCCCTACCTTGAGAGGTGAATTTGCTCCGAAGTTGCAGTTGCTCCATCCTCAGCACTTAGTAGGCAGGTTCCTATAAGTACCTGGAGCAAATAGTTAATTAGTTATAGGTAGGTTCCTATCTGTAACTGAAGCAAATAGTTAATTAGTAGACAGTATTTCATTAAAAATGCATAAGCACAGAACAAAGATTATCTATTTTCTTTGTGCAGAAGGCGATCAAGAAAGTATTAAAAAGAGCAGGTCAATTTGTGTACGAAAATCGTAATTCTCTGGGATAAGGACCGAACCGTTAAATCCTAGTGGGGGATGGACTGAACCAGGTAAATCTGAGTGGGGGATGGACCAAACTTTTAAATCCGAGTGGGGGATGGACCAAACTTTTAAATCTGAGTGGGGGATGAATAAAGAAAATATTCAGTATGTTCACGAAAATAGATGACATGTTTTAGTTCTTATAAAAGGAATATAAAAGGAAATTTATACCTATGTACTGACACACTTGGGATTGCGAAGTAAAGATATATAAAATCAGTATTCAAAGATTAACAGATGCTTAGTCTTGTAAAGAGAAGTAAGACAGTTAACCTAGCTATGCAAGCTATGTTACTATACTTATATAACTATCTCCGCGCACACCTCAACTTGATGACCCCAATTTTTTTTTTTTGAGGCAAGAAACACCAATACTAAATGAGTTGGGGATTGACCGAACCGTTAAATCCGAGTGGGGGATGGCCCAAACCGTTAAATGAGTGGGGTATAGACCGAACCGTTAAATGAGTGGGGTATGGACCGAACCGTTAAATGAGTGGGGGATGGACTGAACCGTTAAATCTGAGCAGGAGATGGACTGAACGGTTAAATATGAGTGGGGGATGGACCAAACCGTTAAATTTGAGTGGGGGATGGACCGAAGCGTTAAATTCGAGTGAGGGATGGAGCGAACCATTAAATTCGAGTGGGGGATGGACCAAACTGTTAAATCCGAGTGGGGGATGGACTGAACCATTAAATCAAAGTGGGGATGGACCGAACCGTTAAATCCAATTGGGTGATGGACCGAACTGTTAAATCCAAATGGGGGATGCACCGAACCGTTAAATCCAAGTGGGGGGATGGACCAAACTGTTAAATGAGTGGGGGATGAACCGAACTGTTACATCCGAGTAGGGGATCGACCTAATTCCGTTAAATCCAAATGGGGGATCGACATCCTATAGATAAAATAATTTAATATTCTACCTTAGTCATGAACATCAGCTTTACGTTCTTCGTATCTCCAAAGCTAAAAATTAAAATTAGAATTGACAATTTATCAAAATATTCTGAAAATGTTTTGATTTTTACTATTATTTTGTATCTATCATCTTTATTGTTATGATTTTGTACTTTTTATCAGTAATAATATCATCCTCATTATTATTAGCATTTATTATTATTAATTGGTTCTGATATATATATGTTATACCTTTGGTTTGCAGCCAAAGCTTCAGTAAAAAATCCAACTCCTCTCTAGTAAAAGTGTTAATATTTCTTACAAATGTTGTAAACATTTAATATTTTAAAATTAAATTAAGTCATAATTTGAAATATCAAAGGTCATATAACATTGGGATGCAAAGATAAACGGAATTTGAAAATCAATTACTTTTCGAATTAGAAAACTTAAAAAATAATTTTGAATCTCCCGAAAAATATGTCATAATTAGTTTCTGAAATATGATTTTACCACTGTATCAGGTTCAAGCCTTGGATCAAAATTAAGTCTCAATATCTGTTCGAACCTAAAAGAATAATTAATTTTTTTTTAATTATTCCAAATTTTTATCTTCATTTCGTCACCTTGTAAAATCTGTTGCGTAAAAAAGTTCTTTCTCCTTTGGAATCTGAAAACAATTTACATTTACATTCAAAACTTATTTTTATCATGTTTAACATGATTTAACAAACATCTATTTTGCGCCCTTTAAGGCTTTACATTAAATACTGTTAATAGAAACATTGGAGAAAAGAACTAAAAGTAATTAAACACCAGTTTAACCTACTCCCCTTTTAATTTCTGGCGAACACACCCTTTAAGTAAGAATTAAAAAATAATTTAGCTTCCAATTTCGGATCTCTTAAAGATATTTTTTCTTTGGTCGTTATTATTCTGAAGAGTTTTCTGTTAAACTCTGACTTCAAATTAAAAACTTATTAAAAAAATTAAAAATTAAACTAAAAATTAAAAATTAAATTAAAAATTAAAAATTAAATTAAAAATTAAAAATTAAATTAGAAATTAAAAATTAAATTAAAAATTAAAAATAAAAAAAAGTTTCCTTCTTCGCATCTTTCAATTGCATCTTCATCTGCTCTCTGGGGATTCCGAATATTATTTAACAATGTTTGATTTTTTGAAGTTTTCAGCTGCACCACCAATAAACATGATTAGAATTATTATAATGCAAGGAAAGGTGTACGCATATTTTGTACTGCAGTGTACTGTCTGTGGGCGGTAATGTAAACACAAGGCGGATGTAGAAGCCTAACATAGGATCCATCTTTTACATAGAATATCAATGAAATATTCCGGTCATGTTATGTGAATTATCAAGATTATCAAAATTTAATGCTTTTAACCTCCTCGGATGCTATACGAACACTGATGCATCTATTCTTGTTTACAAATTCCGCCAAGAGAGAACTGGTTTCAATATGAACGCTGAGTATACACAACTGCAATTAACTTTCCTTGCATTAAAACCTTGATTATGACTATCAAACTAAAAATCAGGATGTGCCGGTCCAAAATTAAATATATTTTCTTGATTATATTGTGATCATTACACAATGGGCTTACACATGACGGGTTGCCAATTTGGTGCTGAGCCCCCATGAAAAGAAAAAATAGCCCCCCCCGGACAAGTTCCTATAATACGCCCCTGAGCTTTTACTTTTTAGTATAAAACTTGTTGATTGGACGGAAATATGTTCTTTATCCTCAACTATTCTAGTTTGCGATAAGATTTAATATTTCTACATTTTGCATCTATCTAATCTAATTTTTTTCAATTATTTGTTTTGATAAATATTTTATCCCCTGCCTGCGAAGCATGTACTGACCCCAGAGGAACGGATTCTGTACAACATAAGCACTGATCAGTTCTAACAAAGCCAAATATTTATTCAGAAATCTTTTTTGAACTTCCATAAATAGAAATCGTCTTCTTTATTTTAAATAGCGACCTTTTTACAAAGTCTTCAAATTAATAGACTTTAATTTTAAAGCAGATATTTCTATACTTTTTATAATTTATGATGTTAGAGTTCTCGAACATTTCCGTACATTTTAATCTTAATTTGCCCCATAATAAAATCTGTGATTGCATACTTAGGTCATTTATTTTTTAATCGAAAAAATATTTCTCATCTCAACTTGTTTGAAGTTTATATAAAAAAAAATATTAAAAATCATTCCTGCACATTTAAAATTAATTATTCATTGAAAAATTGCAAGTTAAAATAGTCTGAACGCCTCGAAAAAAATATCTCTCTAAATAAAGTAGTAATCACTGTTTGCTTGTTAGTTTGTATGTTAGATCATAACACAGGAACCCCATGACCAATTTGCCTAAAGTTTTAATTGGGAAACCGTGGACATTAGACAAAACAGCAGAGATGCTCTATCTTGGTTTAAAATTCTAAGTTGATTAGGTTGACTTTGGAAAACCCAGCTTTGTCCGAATTTTCCTCTGTAAAGTTTTAGACCAATCTATCATAGGGTTCCTGACTAAGATTGGGCATAAAACTTAAATAGGCAAATAATTCAAAAAAATCCGCCAATTTTGTCTCCAATTTGTGCCAGTCGGGTGTTGCAACAGGCTAACGCATGCAAAGCATCCTACTACTTCATGTATGTAGATAAAGCTCTTTTTCTTGATTTTGAAAAATAGTCGCTGAATTGCTTGTTCTCGTATACATGAGACGATTAGTTTTTATCTACATTTTTAAAGGAAGCTTTTTTTGTATTCATATTTCAAGTTTTTTAAACCAAAAATAACATAACTACAAGATCTAAAATTTGTTGAATAAAAAGTTTTATTTCCTAAACCGGGTCTGCGAAACCTAGCATCTATGTCAAAGTAATGAGCGGAATACTTCTTAACCTAAAATATCGGAATTTGAAAAAAATATTAAAAAATAATCATTAGAATAGTCTAAAAACCTTTATAATTGATTAGCTGATACCAAATACGATTAAGTGTATGTTAAGCTTGATTACCCAGTGCTATAATTAAAACAAGAATATAAAAGGACAAACAATAAAATAAAAATAATTGAAAGAAATAAAAAAAGAAAAAAGAAGAAACAGTTCAGTTTCAGTTCAGTTCAGTTTCAATACTAGAAAAAATATTAAAACAAAAATCTATATTTTTTCCTTAAAATTTACTGAGGTATTTATTTTTGTTACTTTAATTACCTCCATAATCTTGCATTCATTGTTCTGAAGGTCCATTGGAGTCCAATAGTCAGGAGCTCGGTTAAACCCTACAGCCTGAAAACAATTTCGATCTATCCCTAATACTTTTCAAAAACCGGTTTCAAACGTAATATTTTATAATCTGAATCTGAATCTGAATCTTAGATGTTAAGGATATATCTTTTGAAATATAAACAATTAAAAACTTTTAAATGTTGATTTTTCATGTTTTCTAATAAACCGTAAATTTTATCTGGAGCAAAATTGTACTTTTTTTTCCAAAAATCGCGTTTTTATTGCAAAAATCTGATCTAACCTGTTTTACAAATCTTTTATCCATAGGTTTCCTATTGAAGGGACCAGTTTTTACAACCTCAACCATTTTTACGCAAAGATATGCGTTGAAATCACTGGAAAATGCGTACTAGAACTGCGCTGGCGCACAGATCTCCAAGGATGGTCAATGGGAACTGATGTGAGATTCAGATAGGCATAGGTTTCAAGCATACGTAGAAACGGATAGATACGTAGCTAGGATACATGAAGGATAGATAGATGCATAGATGGTTATTTGGATAGATATTATATAGACAGATACATAAACAGATACATAGATAGATACAGAGATAGATACATAGACAGATACATAGACAGATACATAGACAGATACAGAGATAGATACATAGACAGATACATAGACAGATACATAGACAGATACAGAGATAGATACATAGACAGATACATAGACAGATACATCATAGAAAGATACATAGACAGATACATAGACAGATACATAGACAGATACATAGACAGATACATAGACAGATACATAGACAGATACATAGACAGATACATAGACAGATACATAGACAGATTCATGAATGGATTGATATATGTATAGATATGGAATATGGATGGATATTATTTATATATTTATATACATAGAAATATATACACCAAAAATGATACAGATAGAAACGTAGATAGATACAGAGATAGATACAAAGACAGATAAATACATTGGAATGCATAGGTCTCACGTATCTATGATAGATAGATATATTGTGCAAGGAGAGTGTAAAATGTTGGATAGAATATCGGTATATATATAAATATATATATATTTAAAGAATCAGCTTTAACAACATCTATTTATACATATAAAATAGTAGTCTCTGTTTGTTTTTATGACCGATCATAACTAAGGAACCCCCCGATTGGCCTCAAATTTTGATTGAGGAACTCGGTACAACCACCAAAATGTACTTAGGTTGACTCGATCTTATAATAAAAACTATGTTACACGGCTAGTCTTATTGAGTGTCTGCTTTTTTACCCAATGTCCGGGCGATACAGTATAACTGGGACCGGAAAGGTTGACCCGGCTCGGAAATTCAAATGTACTACAACTGCCCGTGTTCAATGCAAAACTGGGTTCCCAAGCTGGTATTTAATAAGGATGGAACATTTCGTATTAATTTTCAGCAAAACAAAAAGCATATTATAATAAATATGTTTGCCCTGTACCATTGGTCAAATTTCTGTACATACGAATATGCAAAAATATCGTATGTAAAGTATATCATTCATAATTTGTTTAGAGCCGAAAATATAGATGGTGAGAGGTGTTATTTAAGAAAAAAAATTAATTTTTTTTTTTAAATGCTAAACTGAAGAATAAAAATGAAAATATATGGGTGAGAGCAATAATATCTAATGAGTATATTTAAAACTAGCTAAAGTGCTAGATATTGCTTATGGAACTTTATATTCGTTATATCTAAAAACAATTATAGGTTTGGTCAGCTACAGTGAGAACCAGAAAACTGTGGAATAGGAAGACGACCTTCAAGCAATAATTACGTGTATTTTATGGTGTTACAAAGCAAACTAGTTTGAAAAGTTACTTATCTTCACACTTATTTCTAAAACGGGGCTGTTTACACTGCACAACTGTTGTGTCTCATGTCCAAGTCATAACTTGAGTCTGAGAGTCGTCTTCCCATTTCAGAGTTTTATGGTCAATACTGTATATTTTATACAATAATTTTATTTTATTTTTCTGAATTATTTCATCCTTTCAAAGTTACTAATTGATGTAATTGCAAATCCGATTCTCAACAATGTCCTTTAACTCTACATCTAAGTAACAATAAGGAAGTATTCTACATTTCATTTTCTTAAAAGTGTTGAATTCTGTTCATTTCCTTTAAAGCATTAATTCGCGAGAAGTGGGAGCTCAGGGCCGGGCGTACACAGGAATCTGTCCAAGGGGGTTTAATTTTTTTCATTCCATGGGGGACCAGGCACCAACTGGGGCCAAATAAACTGGAAACCAAAGAGACAAAGATTTGAAAAGTAACAAAGTGAATCAGACATGCCACTCTACTCTCATTTACGCTTAACTTACCCTTTGGTAACTACCCTTTACGCTTAACTTACCCTTTGGTATCTTAGCCTTTGGAACCTTACCCTTTACACTTAACTTACCCTTTCTTATTCTCATATATTTTTAAATCAAGTTTAAATATATTAAATTATATGTATTAAACAATTAAATACAGGGTTAGTTACAAATCATAATACTATTCTTAGGCATAGTACATATCAAGTTAAAAACATGATATATAAAAATAATAAATAAATCATTAGTTTAATATTTGTGAAGAAATAAAATTTAACTTAGGCATAGTTCATATCAAGTTAAAATCATGATATATAAAACATAATAAATTAATTAATAGTTTAATATTTGTGAAGAAATAAAATTTAACTTAGGCATAGTTCATATCAAGTTAAAAACATGATATATAAACATAATAAATTAATTAATTGTTTAATATTTGTGAAGAAATAAAATTAAAAACTTTTTGCATAAAATTAGTTATAATTACCACGCATTAAAAATGCTAACTTTTTCCTTACTATTTTGTTGACATCATAATTTGATAAAAATTAATGTGTAATAATATGCAATAAATAAAAAAGTCATAGTCTTCCAAACACAACATGAAAGGTCTTAAACCACTTTTTTAAGTAAGGTGTTATACCAAAAAAAAATCATTAAACTTTTACAGAAATCAATGATATTTCTTTATCTTTAAACACAAACAAATAATTATATTTCTCGTCACTAAAAATTTGTAAAACCGTTGATATATTAAATTTTTCAGTGACGACAGAGACAATGAACTTCTATATATTTTTCTTACATCTTGATATTTTCAAAATTTAAACGTATGCGAGATAATTCTTTGTTAAATGGATTTATTAATGCAGATAATACAAGGCCAAGAAAAATTGGTTTCTTAGGTCGGTATTAACAGTTTCAGCACTTTGAGGTGAAGATTGATGTAAAGATTTATTTACGGTAATTTGTTATACGTCATGTACGTACATTTTAGTGTACAGTTTGATGAACAGTTAGTTGTACAGTTTTTTTAATAGTTTGCTGAACAGTTTGTCGAACAGTTTGGTGAACAGCTTGTTTAATGCAGTATGGTGAACAGTTTGGTGACCCGTTTGTTTAATGTAGTTTGATGAACAGCTTGGTGAACAGTTTGTTTAATGCAGTTTGGTTAAACAGCTTGTTTAATGCAGTATGGTTAACAGCTTGGTGAACAGTTTGGTTAATGCAGTTTGGTGATCAGTTTTGTGAATAGTTTTGTTAAGGCAGTTTAGTGAACAGTTTGGTGAACAGTTTGGTGAACAGTTTGTTTAATACAGTTTGGTGAACAGTTTGTTTAATGCAGGTTGGTGAACAGCTTGTTGAACAGTTTGGTTAATGCAGTTTGGTGAGGATTTTACTCAATGGTTCCGATACATTCTCCACAAACTGCCTCTCCCTCTACGCTGTAGAAGTTCTTCTTCCCCTCAAATGAGACCCCACACTCCTAAATATCAAATACAGGGAGACCCATTAAACTGTGAAATATGAAGACGACTGTTAAACTCAAGTTATGGTTATAAGTAGTCCAGTCCAATGAACATAACGCTCAACAGTGCACAGGCCATTTTCTTTTTAAAGTTTTAATTTCAAGATGTTACAGTAAAACTTGTTGCTATGTAACAACATAAATAAACATAAAATAACATAAATCTAGTCCTCCTATTCTACAGTTTAAAGAGTCTCGCTGTTCTGAGGGGAGGAAGGCCAGCCACAACAAATTCTCGTCCGAGCCACATTCTCCTCATTTTCTCGTCCGAGTCACCTCAAAATCCTCGTCCTTCGATTAATAAAACAATTTTTAATCTGTTAGGGCATACAATATGGATAGACTAAAGTACTGCAATGATTAAATCAAATTGGAATCTTCAAACCCATGAGAATAATGTCAAACTTTATTTAGGTAAAACTTAAATCTCTTTTGCTTTCGTATTGGCTATTCTTCATGATATAAAATAAATAGCAAAATATTTTGCATATTTCGGCTTATCATAATCCCAATGGAACCACCTGTAAAAATTCTATGGTTTTAACAAAAAAGAGTATAGTTGAACTCAAAAACTATTCAATTGAAACTATTTATTTCGATTTATAAAATTTTAATATTTTTTGCATATGCCCTAACGTGGCCCGATTTTTAAAAATAGCTTTATCTTGGAGAATCAAACACTTAAAAAAATAATATTGGAAGGACGAGGATTTCTAGGTGACTCGGGCGAGAAAATGAGGAGAATGTGGCTCGGACTATAAATTGCTGTGGCTGGTCTTCCTCCCCTCCTATTCTAATAGGATACATATTTCATGTTTAAGTAATTATATCTACATACTCTTATTACAATTCTGGAAACGATCAGCAAAAATTAATTTTAATGAAAGAGGGTTAAAGATAACCAAATCATTATCTAACTTAAATGGTACAACTTCTTTATAGAACAAAGAGCCCAAAATACAGAAAAAATTCTTTTCCCGCGAAGAATAATTTCCACGTTAAATTGAAATCTTACATGATTCCAATCATAACTCCTCTTTTTGCAAAGCTATTGAAAAAAAAATTTCGAATTTCTAACCCACTGCAAATTAGACAGAGGATGCAGATAAAATTTATGCAACATCACTGGTATGACTTTGTGACCTATGAAGCTCCTCTAGTTTTAATTTTATGAGCAAGTATGAGAAAAATAAATTTATCTGGTTACATAATAGAAATTAATACATGTTTGCTCTTCTCAATAGTTCATTAAAGGGACAGACCGGCTGTGTAACTGTAAGGTAGTTAAACTGAGTATGTAGTGTTGTGGACAAATTCTTTAGGGTACATTTGAAATATATGAAACGTTTGAAACATTTCCACAATGTATAAATATTGAGTTTGAGTGCATAGTTGACGTTAAAAATCATGAATTCGGGTGGGTACGTTTTCAGAATCGTTTTTTTTTTGTAAATTATTAAATAAAGACGACGAAAAATAAAGTAAAAATTATACAGAACTAATTAGACGGTTAGGAACATATTTCTCAAAAGAAATTTGTCAATAAATCAATGCAAGAATCAACTATTTCGTTTTCATCATTTTATTGAATTTCTTATTTTCTATGAATTTATTCGCAGATTTCTACAAATCCTTTAAATGTCGTCATTTCAATAAAAATTCCATGAAATCTGCAGAAAATCTTTGTGAGTAATTGAGAGATTATAGAAACTAATAATTAAATAAAGTGACTTATTTTCGATGATAAGATCAATCCTTATTTTCTCGACCTGCTCCGAAGCAACTAATTATTTTACTGTAGAATTTTGTTTATATTTTTTGTCGTCGTTATTTAATAATTTAAAAAAAACAATTCTGAAAAGTATCCCCCCAAAAGTTAGATTTTGAACGTTGACTTTGTGCTCAAACTTAGGATTTACAGATCTTTAAAAAGTTTTATATGTCTCAAATAAATACTAAAGAATTTGTCCACAACACTGCTTACATAGCCAGCCTGTCCCTTTAATTAGTTGAATTATGATTGAAAACATATAAGATTTCAATATTACGTACAATTTAAATTAGTTTGACATAGACCAAATACTTAGGCGTTAAAGCTACGAGGTTACAAACTCGTACAGTGACTCTCATAAACTTTAAAATGTTCGTCTACATTGGAGTTCAGGTCTCCAGTCACGTCAAACTATAGTAAATTCAACGTAAAATTAAAATCTTATATTTTCAATCATAACTTCTCTAATTTCAAGAGCTTTTGAAAAGAAAAAAAGGTTCCGATGTTTTTTTACGTAAATTTTACCTTCGCCATCTGTCTAGTATATATGAAACAGTTTATTTAAAACTTGAATATCACCTTACACCTGAAGCAAGCACCATGCCAACTGTTGTTCATGGCCTTCATAGCTGTATCAGTTATAGGTCTGAAAATAAAACAGATAAAAAATTGCTATATAGCAACAAAAAATATGTCTAAAATAAATAATTGTCTGAAAAAATTAATGGTTTTTATAAACAAAGATAAACTGATCAAAAAAGCAACTACAATTTTTCTGCACAAATTAAATACAAAAGACTAAAATTTCATCGATTGTTAAGAATAATACTGAAACTGGCGAACAGAAAAGAACAATATTTCTTTAAAAGAAATAAAAGATTTTAATGAAGGATTGATACGCAAAGTAAAAAAATAAGAAATATTTTGATTTTGTTAAAAAATTATAGAAGGGGAGATAGTGTTAGAGCACTGAGGTTTATTTCCTATAAAACCACTGCTGTAAAATATAAACAAAACCAATCCCATCATTAATTGTATCATACCTGCAGCAACCATGGCATTTTTCACAAGCTCTTTCAATATAACAATTCTTACAGTACGGACTAAAACAAATATTTATATGAATATATTTTAGGGATAACTAATTTTTGAAAAAGATTATGTTCTTTATACAAAGAATTTGAGCCGCGTTTCAAATTTGAGACGCGTCTCAAACATGTTAGGTTCCACTTGAAATTGTATTAATTGTTTTGAGATTTGAGCCGACGCTCGATTGGAACCGGTTTTAGGCAGTTCAGCGACGCGGTTTTAATTCTTTAAATTCGGCCTCAGATTTGATAAATAATAAGTCATAGTTAAACAACTTCTCTCCAGTCTGACCCTGTGCAATATTCATTAAACCTGATCTCTGGCAAACTACTTTTTAAGTTGTTTTTATATTTACGGTTTCTTGGCTCTCAATAGTCCTAACAAAATCTAAGAAGTGTCATTGCATCAAAAATGAAAATTTCCTAAGTTTTTTTTACGCTGCACAGACTTTTTTAAACTATTCTCCAAGACTAAATATATCATAAACTAATTAAAATGAAAACAAACTTTTACATATTCATGAAAAACTGTTTATAAAGTCGATTAAAAACCCAAGAAAACTGAAAATGTTAAGAAAAACTTTGCTTTGGATAAGCTAAACTTTGAAGCATACAAAATTAAATTACATTTAAAATTTAAAACGATTTTAATTATAATTTACTCGTTATAAAATGGAATCAAGAAAAATGGTAACTTTTAATTAATTATAAGATTCTTAAAAACTTGACTTGCATTAAAAGTATTTGAATCTATGAGTATCGTTGTATCAATAGATAAGATGAACACAACTTTGTTTTATCCTGAGGCCAAAATTTAAAAGAGTATCGTTGAACAAGACTCCCGGGTTTCCTTTTTGGGGTCTTATTATTTGTGTAGATTTTGATTTAAGAGATTAGAAAAAAATGGTAAAATATGAAGAAACTAAATAAAATAATATTTCAAAACAAAAATATCGATATCTACAAAACTGGGTAAACCCATTTGTGAAACCCAGGTTCCAAAACTGGTTTTCATAACGATACCCTGTCTTAAGTTTTGGGCTCTGTGGGTTGCAGTTAGGAAGCAGGAGTTCAACACATCCAAATATTTTAATAAAAATAATTTTTTTTAAAATGATTTTGCACCTTAAATAAAAATGTTAAGTTATTTTGGGTTGAGTATTTCATATTTAAATTTTTAATAATAAAAACCTGTTTTTGAATTCATGAAATCCTTCTCCGTCCTTAAAGGGTGTCTGAAAAAAGTATTGCTAATTAATTTAATCGACATCTATTTCTCACTCCCAATTCTCTTTAATAATATCTCCTTCTCTCTCCCAATTCTCTCTAGTAATATCTCTTCCTATCTCTCAATTATCTTTAATAATATCTCCTTCTCTCTCCCAATTCTCTCCAGTAATATCTTCTTCTCTTTCCCGATTCTTTTTTGTAATATCTCCTTCTAGCTCTCAATTCTCTTTAAAAATATCTCCTTCTCTCCCCTAATTCTCTTTTATAATATCTCCTTCTCTCTCCCAATTCTCTCTGGTAATGTCTCTTTCTATCACCCAATTCTCTTTAATAATATCTCTTTCTATCTCTCAATTCTCTTTAATAATATCTCCTTCTCTCTCCCAATTTTCTTTGATAATATCTCCTTCTCTCTCCCAATTCTCTCAAATAATGTCTATTTCTATCTCCCAATTCTCTTTAATAATATATCCTTCTCTCTCCCAATTATCTCTAGTAATATCTCTTTCTATCTCCCAATTCTCTTTAATAATATATCCTTCTCTCTCCCAATTATCTCTAGTAATATCTCTTTCTATCTCCCAATTCTCTTTAATAATATATCCTTCTCTCTCCCAATTATCTCTAGTAATATCTCTTTCTATCTCCCAATTATCTTTAATAATATCTCCTTCTCTCTCCCAATTCTCTCCAGTAATATCTTCTTCTCTCTCCCGATTCCTTTTTGTAATATCTCCTTCTATATCTCAATTCTCTTTAAAAATATCTCCTTCTCTCCCCTAATGCTCTTTGATAATATCTTCTTCTCTCTGCCAATTCTCTCTGGTAATACCTCCTTCTATCTCCCAATTTTCTTTAATAATATCTCCTTCTCTCTCCCAATTCTCTTTAGTAATTCCCAATTCTCTTTAATAATATCTCCTTCTCTCTCCTAACTCTCTCCAATAATATCTTCTTCTCTCTCCTAATTCTCTTCAATAACATATCCTTCTCTATCCTAAATCTCTTCAAACATATCTCCTTCTCTCTCCTAATTATCTTCATTAATATAACCTTCTTTATCCTAAATATCTTCAATAATATCTAATTCTCTCTCCTAATTCTCTTTAATAATATCTCCTTCCCTCACCTATTTATCTTCAATAATATCTCCTTCTCTATCCTAAATCTCTTCAATATTATCTCCTTCCCTCTCCTAATTCTCTTTAATGATATCTCCTTCTCTCTCCTAATTCTCTTCAATAATATCTTCTTCTCTCTCCTAGTTCACAGTGAAAGTATACCTGACGGTAAAAAGAATGTAAGTATACCTGATGTTAAAACCAGTGGAAGTATACCTGATGTTAAAACCAGTGGAAGTATACCTGACGGTAAAAAAAGTGGAAGTATACTTGATGGTAAAACCAGTGGAAATATACCTGATGTTAAAACCAGTAGAAGTATACCTGACGGTAAAAACAGTGAAAGTATACTTGACGGTAAAACCAGTGGAAGTATACTTGACAGGAAACGCAATGGAAGTATACCTGGTAGGAAAAGTTATGGAAGTATACCTGACAGGAAAAGTAGTGAAAGTATACCAGACAGGAAAAGTAGTGAAAGTATACCGGACAGGAAAAGCAGTTAAAGTATACCAGACAGGAAAAGTAGTGAAAGTATACCAGACAGGAAAAGTAGTGAAAGTATACCAGACAGGAAAAGAAAGTATACCTGACCGAAAAGCAATGTAAATATACCTGACAGAAAAAGCAAAAGTATACCAGACAGGAAAAGTAGTGAAAGTATACCAGACAGGAAAAGTAGTGAAAGTATACCAGACAGGAAAAGCAGTGAAAGTATACCAGACAGGAAAAGCAGTGAAAGTATACCAGACAGGATAAGCAGTGAAAGTATACCTGACCGAAAAGCAATGTAAATATACCTGACAGAAAAAGCAATGTAAGTATAATACCTGAAAGGAAAAGTAGTGAAAGTATACGGAAAAGCAATGGAAATATACCTGACAGGAAAAGTAGTGAAAGTATACCTGACAGGAAAAGCAATAGAAGTAATACCTGACAGATAAAAGTAGTGAAAGTATACCTGATAGGAAAATTAGTGAAAGTTAGGAAAATTAGTGAAAGTATACCTGACAGGAAAGCAGTGAAAGTATACCTAACAGGAAAAGCAATGGAAGTATACCTGACAGGAAAAGCAACGGAATTAATAGCTGACAAAAAAGTAATGGAAGTATACCTGACAGGAAAAGCTGTGAAAGTATACATGACAGGAAAGTAATGGAAGTTTACCTGACTGGAAAGTAATGTAAGTATACCTGACAGGAAAAACAATGTAAGTATACCTGATAGTAAGTACAATGGAAGTATACCTGACAGGAAAAGCAATGGAAGTATACATGACAGGTAAAGCTGTGAAAGTATACCTGACAAGAAAAGCAATGGAAGTGCTCTGGATGAAAAGTCTGATTCATTGCTCTAATACAATCCTAAAATAAATCTTGCTACTCAATAAGAAGTAGAAAATTGTTCATTGTGTAAATTTAATATAGACTTCGTTTCTTGCATTTTATGTAAATGACATTTGACTTATAAGTTTGTAATTATGTTTTTCTTTAAATTGAAGGTCTTTCAAAGTAATTTTGAGCGACTCCCCTAGGTTTAGTACGCCCCTGAAAAAGTTACATAAACGATTCACGACGCGATGGTATGGTACCTTTTTAAACCTTTGTCTGATCAAAAGTGATGGAGATTTCGTCGTTTTTCCATAATTAAAAGTGATATATTCTGACAGTTTTCTTCTAATTCTCTGATGCATAAACCCGCCCGTCACTGATAAAGAGAAACCCCAATTGGAAATTATAATTTTTAAGATAAAAAGTAAAAATATCTTTGTCATCAATTTGATTTATAAGGGCTTAGAGGGATCGTTGCGAAAGATCATTGCTTAGTTTTCTGGATTACTTTTGCGGGAAACTGCTTCACGAATTGATTATTTGATCAATTGATTAAATGATCGATTAGTCCATTAATTCATTGATTAGTCTCAATTAATTGGAATAACTTATAGATTATTTGATTAAGTAATTAAACAAATGAATTAATAGTTGATTAACCAATAATTGATTTATTAATTGATTAATTGATTAATTGATTAATTGATTAATTGATTAATTGATTAATTGATTAATTGATTGATATACCTTAAGAATGAATCCTGAACATGATGCACAGCGTGGAACAAATTTTTTGTAATCGTTCTCACAAAACAGTTCTTGGTTCTTCAGGTAAACCTAGATAAAGGGATTCAAAATCTGGAAAATAATGTTGAAAAAATAATAAAAGCGAAAAAGAGAATTGGAAGAAAAGAGTAAAATTATTGAAAATCTTAATAGCCCGTTAAGATAAAAATCAAAAGAAACTTTTTAAAAAAGAGAATAAAAAAGTTTAATTTTGAACAAATTATCTACAGAATGAAATAAATGATTTAAAGGATTGTAAAATGTGTATTTTGTAAATAAAGAATATACTTAATACATTCAATTATTATTTCTATAAACAATCAAAATATTATTCTATTTTTTTTCCCCGCTTTTAGACTTTTTGGTAAACCAAAGGAGAGGGGGATTTGTACTTTCTGCCTTTGAAATTGAAAAATATTTATAAAAGGGGAATAGCATACTGGTGAAAAGAAATGAATGAGAATAAGGGGAGGGGGGAGTGATACATGAATTGAGCGAAACTGTAAAAAATAGCACCTGCTGCGTGTTACGCATTCATTATTCATTATGTTAAAAGCAAAAAATTTGTTACATCTTTTTGATTATGTTTCGCAGAAAATAATTTAAGTATTTAAACAGGTTTTTTTTTATCATTTTCAAAACAAAAAAACTGAGTTCTTATTTTTAAATCTCAATATCTTTGCAACCTGATGTTATAGACATTTAATATTTCAAACTATGAATTCTGAGCTGAAAACTTTAGAATGGTGGATATCAGGATTAAGGCTTAAACCACTCTTTTTCTTAATATCCAGATTAAGTAATGCTTGTTCTCCACATGAATTTAAACTCCAGAGAAGCTAATCGATCGGATATCTGGATATTTCATTCTAAAGTTTTCAGCTCTGTTAGATCAAAAAATCTAAATTTGAAATATCAAAGGTTTACTTCATCAAGTTGGGAAGATGTAGGAGCTTATAGATTTTTAGTTCGTGGCAAGAACTCAGTTCCTTTCTATTTGACTTTTCGAAAGAGTTTTTTTTTGTAAAAAAAGAGATACACTAACTTTTAATAAAAAGTAAAGAAATAGAGTAAGAATTTGTGTGTACAAATGGTGTACAACAATGACATTTAGATCGTAGGGAAAGCGGGGGGCGTTTGGTGCCCCCTCTTAATGTTTTATTCTAGCACTATTATTTTTAAGATCAAAATCAGGTTTCGCATGTTATTTGCCAATAGCAAAATTTTACATTTATGGGATATTTAAAGTTAGGGGAGAATTTTTTTATAGAACGCCTGAAAAAATTTGGATAAGATAGATACATAGACAGATACATAGACAGATACATAGACAGATACATAGACAGATACATAGACAGATACATAGACAGATACATAGACAGATACAATATTTAACCCCTGTAAAGATAAACTGAGGAGAAGTTAACCTTAACATTTTTACAATCAACAAACACTATTTATAGCTTTCCCACACATACTAAACATACATACACACATACATACATATATTCATACTTAAACCTACAATCTACATATTATACCCCCCCTCACCCCTCCTCCCCCCTCGTGTTCTATCTTTTTTATTTAATTAAACACGTTCGGGAAAAAAGAAGTAACTCTGTTAAAAAACTAAGGTGCAAAAGAAATAAAAATACATTTAAAAATGGGATTATAATTTCTACAAACTTGTAGACTCTCTATTTTGTCTGTCCTGATCTACAGCTATGTTTTACCGTTACTAGTTATATAACTGATTGTTCTCACTCAATTACCAATTATCTGGAATTAACGTAAATATAGTAACTCCTCTCGGGAACATATTCTCAGATCTCCCAATAGTAACATAAGAACGATCTTCCAGATTTGTTGAATAAATGTTTCCCTGATTTTTACTTTCGCCATGCACATTACACGCGCTCACATGCGCGCATGCCGCGTAAAATTCTAAATGTTTGATTTTACTTGGCAAGTTCCAGGACAATACCTTGGTATCCTTTAGCCTGATTCCACAAACAGAGCAAAGGAAATGCTCATCGTGCCAATATTTGTCTCCAGCCTACAGAGAGAAGAATTAGCTGATTAATTGATTAGTCTATAAAACCAGTTGATCAGCAAAAGTGTTAAATAGCCAGTTAATCAGCTAATAAATCTGTCAGTTAGATAGTAAGTTATCAAGGAAATTACTCAAATATAAAGTTGATAATTATCAGGGTCTATTGAGTGTATAGAGTTTAGACGTAACTGTAAGAGTGGTATATGTCCGATTCACAACGGTCCCCTTAAAACCAATGTCTGATCAAGAATGAGAGGTATCTATTTTTTCGTTTTGAAACTGATTTATATATAAAGTGATTTGCAGATTTCAACTTTGGTGACCATTGAGGAAATTGAGGAAATTTTAAAATAGAGAAACGACGATATCTTCCTCATTATTAATCAAATAAAAGTTTAAAGGGTTCGTAGTGAATTGGACATGAATTTCTATGAATCTAGGGTCAATTGAATTTACTTCTAAGTTCTACAGTCTCTTTAAGATTCGAAGTAGATTTGGTGATAGAAGCATAAACTATCTGAACCATCAACCTTTATAATGACGCGCATGTTTTTTTAAGGTTGTTTTATTTCTAATATTCACCCTGTTTGCAAACTTTACGAAAAATTAAAAAAAATTTAATTCTAATTAAGAAATTCATGTTCTATAGTGAAAGTGTCTGCAATTGTAATTTATAAGCAGAATATAAGAAGTATTGATTTACAAATATATAATTTATATAATATGTTTCAATCATGAATTTCTCTAATAAAAATTATTTATTTTTTAAGAATAACTACCCGGGATTATTTTATGTAGGGACTAAATATTTGACCAGGGTTCTTTTTTCTTGTTTAAATACCTTCATAGCTCTACCATCAATCCTGGTAAGGCAGGCGGAGCAGTGCAGGAGCTCCTGTGCTTCTTCCATCCTACTGTGCTCGAGTTCGCGGTCTTTAATTAAAGTTTGCACTTGTCCTGACTCCTCACTCCTAGTTATACTGGCTCCTCCTTACTCCTAGTTACTGACGGGGAATTAAAACAGATGAGCGCTTTACAGAGGGATTTATACACTGATTCATAGAGAGCTCCATAGAGAGCTCCATAGATAGATCCATAGAGAGCTCCATAGATAGATCCATAGAGAGCTCCAAAGATAGATCCATAGAGAGCTCCATAGAAAGCTCCATAGAGAGCTCCATAGAGAGATCCATAGAGAGCTCCATAGAGAGATCCATAGAGAGATTTATAGAGAGATCCATAGAGAAATCCATAGAGAGCTCCATAGAGAGCTCCATAGAGAGATCCATAGAGAGCTCCATAGAGAGATCCATAGAGAGATTTATAGAGAGATCCATAGAGAAATCCATAGAGAGCTCCATAGAGAGATCCATAGAGAGATTTATAGAGAGATCCATAGAGAGATCCATAGAAAGATCCATAGAGAGATCCATAGAGAGATCCATAGAGGGATACATAGAGAGATCCATAGAGAGATCCATAGAGGGATCCATAGAGAGATCCATAGAGGGATCCATAGAGAGATAAATATACTCCAATGAGGAATTTCTACGCTCTCCGATCCATAGAGGGATTGATATACATGATCCATAAAGGGTTTCCCACAGACCCCCTCAAGTCCCTGGATAAGCCCCTGACTAAAATAAAATGTTTCCCAGGTGTTCATGAGTCGTGACGCAGAGAATTGTTTTTAAAAAAATAAACAGTTTGAGACAAAATCAATACGGCCATGAACACTTCTTTCAAATTAGGAAGCATTCAGAAAATTAGCAATATTAAAGGGATTTTCTTGTTTTTGTAGATGTTGTCATTGTCAATGAAAGGTATTTATCGGAAATATTTTTTTCAATCTTTATCTTTAGTAGAAAAAATGTTTATCGGTGAAATCAAATTAATATTTATACAAATTTTCTGTAAATAACATATTGGGTTACCCACAAAGGATGAGACTTCATAGACGACCGCACGGATCTTATTCAGCATATTTCCTAAATCTTTGATTCCCTGCAATTAGATTCAATGCATCTCAAGTGCAGACTCGACGGGTCTGTGCAGGGCACAATATTCTATAACTCTGTTTCTGTTTGCTGCCCAGCTCTGTCTCAAATCAAGAATCAAAGGCTTTTTGTATATCCCTCAACCCCAAAGTTTATCATCCCTATATCTTTGCAAGGTTATGATGCAAATCATTCATATTTAAAACTTAAACTATCTATGGACTAGACATTGGGTTTCAAGGATATAGGGAACAGAAAATAATAGTTTGTGGCCAAAACTCATTTCCTTTATAACATGTTAATACGAGTAAAAACGAACCTGTTCCTACGTCTTTTCCGAACCCAGTACCACTATGTCTTCTGCTGTGAATCAATTGAACACATATTTGTAATGTTATGCTCAATCTGTTTTGTTTTTATCAGAAAAATACATCATAAAATACCCTCCAATCTTAACTCAATCATACCATTCTTCTACTCTTAACCTAATTCATCCCATCCTTCTCCTATTCATCCAATACGTCCTGAACACCAAAAAACCTATGTTTTGATACCTCACATAACTTATTTTCTTTGATTTCATATTTTGACCTTCAGAGGTCATTATTATCTGGAGGTCACGGCCTCCAGGATCATCTGAGTTCAAAAAGGGGTCTCAGAATTGAATCGGAACACCAAAAAACCTGTGATTTGATACCTCACATGACTTATTTTCATCGATTTCATATTTTGACCTACATTGGTCATTGATCGTTGGAGGTCACGACCTCCAGGATCATCTGAGGTTAAACAGGGGTCTCAGATTGGAAACAGAACACCAAAATACATTCGAAAACATGCCTGATTAACTTAACATAAGTGATTTAGAGGGAAAAAAGTGGTATTTTCCCATATTTTCTGAAATGGAGGTCAATGACCTCCGATCTCAAATTTAGAGGCTGCATGCAAAATAGCTTATTATTCGAAAATTTTCAAACATATCCCTCTTTTTTCACATTTTTAGACCCACACACCTATGATGTTTCTCTGATTGAATCGTAGTCAGCTCTATCATATCCTTTTAAACTGAATTAATTATAGACACACAGCTTATTATTTAATTTTTTTCAAACATATCCCTCTTTTTCACATTTTTCGTTCTTTATATTCTTGTGAACACTCTCTGATGTTTGTTCTGCAAAAAATCCAAGAGGTTTCTGAATCTTGTTTAGAAATTCTTCTAAATAAAATTGTATGAGATTCAACTTAAACTTTGCCCTCACATATTCCTTCACAACCTTGATTTTGCTTTGGTTATCAATGTTAAAATTTAGATTTTAAGGAAACGTCTATTTAAAACAATTTACACTTGTAATAAAATTAGTTCCAAGGGCATTTCCTGAATTGTTTCTATAAATGTGCGAATGCTATCTGAATAGGTTGGAGATAGAAACAATCTTCAACAAAAACAATCTTCAACAACTGAACAATTTTCAATTTAAATAATATTTTCTACTTTGCTTTTCTAATCTTTAAGTAAATTTTTTTATTTTTTATTTAAAAAGTTAAAGTGAAGTTTATATTTTTCGCCAGTGTTTCCTGATTTAAATTCTAGACAGCTTTGAGTACATATGTAATACAAATGAAATGTACATACAAATGAATTGAGTATTTGTCACAGTTCTGATTTTCTAATCCTTATATCTTTGCAACCCAATATCTTAAACATTAGATTTACTACAAATTCTGTTTGAGCAAATAATCTAAGTTTGAAATATGAAAGGTTTACATAATCAGTATGCAAAAATATAGGAATTAGAAAATTTCAGTTTGTGGCAAAGACTCAATTCCTTTTGAATCATATTTACACAAATTCATAACATGGTTAATAAAAGTTTATCTGCTGAAAACCTTTTCAGTAAAATAACGAGAGGTTTAAATTCGTGAAAATCATGTTCATATATATTATACATCTAATTCATTCAATTTCTTCAACAGCTTGGAACTATTTTTTCCGTCTACACCTCTACCATTGTAACCATGCAATGCCAAAAAATCCCGTTCTCGGTAAACCAAGTTTGAAGAGATGGCTGAACTATCATGATATTTACGGTGTTGGTTACAATATTCAATAGCAAATGAAGTTTGAACAACTTCCAAAACCAGCTTTTTATCAGGTTCATTCAGCAGAACAGGATTTATAAAATTCTTGTAATCCTTCATGTTATTTTCATTCGCTCGTGTATCTTTATAAGAACAATAATTCTCACGAAGACCACCCAATGTTATGAATTCTCCTCTCTTATTAAGTTTCCCCCCACAATACAAAAACTGTGCATTCCTCCGTGGACAGACAAACCAAGAATGAGATTGAGTAATTTCAAATCGCAGGCTAGATAACATTTCAAACTGTTCAGATCAGTTTTGTATAGTCCGTATTACGTCACCAGAACTTCAGCCAATAACAGTGTAGTATCATTGTCACGTGATACAGATGGAAATCACGTGACCAGTATACTGCACTGCCATTGGTGGGAGTTTTGGTGACGTAATACGGACAATACGGACTATATGTAATCAAATTATCAATTATGTCTATTAAAAATGCAAAATAAAAATAAAAATAGGAGCAAACCTGGGATTCTCAGGTTCCTGTGGAATCGATTTTAGATTGGTTGCGGATTTGCTAAATATGATCTGTTTATACAAAATTGTATATATATGAATTTTCGTATGATTTTGACACATTTTTATATCAATTTCGATAGAGACAGGAACATCAGATAGATGTCTTATAGGTATCGTTGAACGCCTGAGATTCTCAGTTTTCATCCTCTACCCCCTTTCATTTTTCCTTTACAGTCCCTGTAAGAGATTTTGAAGTAACTTGTTTTTCAGTTTTTTAATCACTTTGAAATAAAAAGTTCTTTATAGTTTAGAGGGACTGAAATCATTTTTTCTTCCAGTAGAAATACCTCTTGTAAATCTCGAATATTAAGATTTATTCTTCTATTCCTGACTAATATACAAATAGGGCATTTACAAGGTTCACTATCATCTTCTGTAAACCTTGGCATAAGAATTTAAACCTCTCCCGAGTGATGGTTCAGTTATTCAGAGCTTCTGCTGATAGTTGGTTGGATTTCTTTATTAATGCAGTCAAAGCTGTACAAACTTGCTTGCGACACGACAAATGTTTTCTTTTCTCTTTTGGCATCCTGACTGTACTTTTCAGACTGCTTTGCGGATTTTTTTTCTATTAATTTTCGAATAATTAAAAAAATATATTTTATTTTAAATTTCTTTAAAAGGGATAATCTTTGCAATTCGATAAAGATGTCAAACATTGAAGAATAGTCAAAGAAATTATATGCGGAAGAAAAAAATGGAGTACCTTGTATTTTGAATAAATAAATATATAAAAAAATTTTCTAAAAAGTTTATTTAAAGATCTTTCCAAATATTACAAATTGTGCTAAGTTTGTCGATATATAAATAAACAACAAAGTAAATTTGATGATAATGTTTGAAATATGATTTTCAGGACATATATATGGCATTTGTTTACAACTAAAATAAACTAACAATTTCTATAAAAATAAAACTTTGCTATTTTTACCAGAGTCAATATTTTTATACACTTAGTAGTGTTTCCTTACATTAGACATTAGACATTAAACATTCATAAGAAAAATACAGCTATACCAGTATGGAGATAATGCAGCTGATGTGTTTCAGTATGCAGCTATAATGGAGTTGGTGTGTTTACTGATTAATTGAGCTGGTGTTCTTAAGTTTCTAAAATTTATGTGTTAAGGATGGAGCTGTTATGTTTAAGTATGCAGCAATAATGGAGCTGAAGTGTTAAAGTATGCAGATATAATGGAGCTGATGTGTTTAAGTAAGGAAATATAATGGAGCTGGTGTGCTTAAGTATGTAGATATAATGGAGCTGGTGTGTTTAGGCATGCAGCTATAATGGAGTTACTGTGTTTACTTTTTAAGTATGCAGGTATAATGGAGCTGCTGTTTTTAAGTATGAATCTATAATTGAGCTGGTGTGTTCAAGTATTCAGCTATAATAGAGCTGATGTGTTTAAGTATAGGAACTATAATGAAGCTGATATGTTTAAGTATGGATGTAAAATTTAGCTGGTGTGCTTAAGTTTTCGGCTATAATGGAGCCAATGAGATTAAGCATGTAGCTATAATGAGCTGGTATGTTTAAGAATACAGCTAAAATGGAGCTAATGTGAAGTAGGAAAATGGTACAAAGTGCCAACACATAGAATATAGATTGTTTCAAAGCGATTTTAGGTTTACGGATATTATTTACTTTTTCTTTTTTTTTCTTTGGAAATATAATAAAATTATTTAAATATTGCACATACATTAATGGAGTGTTCGCGAAAAGAGAAATTGTGGGTATAATTAAATAAATATAAATTTATAAATATTTTTAATAATATTCGGGATCCAGAACAGATCATTAACAAAGGACACTTCTTTTTTCGCCAACTCTCACTTTAACTAAATTTTAAATCCTCTAATACTGCAGTGAATAACGGAACATAATAACTTTTGAAAATTGTCAATATTGTACGCCGCTGTGTACTTAAGAGCTATTTCAGAATTTTGTTTTAAGACACAACACCAAAAACAAAAACAAAAAATCTGTGGAGGCCTTTTTGGGTAAAATTTTTTTTAGATATCTAGTTCTTTTTTGCAATCTAAAGTTAATCATATATATATAGATTCATGGCTTTATTATGTCTATTCTGTGTTTTTGTTTGCGACATTATTGTAACCTTTAAATGTAGTTACTTTTCTTACAGTCATTAAACATGTTGTTACAAAACATGAGAGCCCCAAGTCAATTGACTGATATATTTTTATCTGATTTCATTTCTAAATGCCGAGCCCATAGATTAATTAACAATAACAGATTTAGGGGTTTTGGTTTACAATAACCCTGAGACAGAAGCCCAAAAGAGATCTGCGCAGGCATCTCATTCCCTCTCTCCGCCTTGTAATTCAAAGCTGCCTGCGCGGAATTCCTTTGGGTTTTTGCTTAAAATCTTGAAAAGACAACATCTAGTGTCCTGGCTTATCTATTATTGTTAATTAATCTATGACCGAGCCAAACCTGACATTGCTCATGTGCACAGTGTACGGTAATTAAACAAAACAAAAACAAACAAAAAGGATAAGTGAGAACGTTGCTCAATCTTTGGTGTCCATTTAAATTTTTTAAACTTAACGAAATCAAATTATTTCAAAAACTAAATTGTATTACATTGAGGAAAAAAAATAAAATGCCAGAAATATTTTTTCCCAACAAAATTTGTTTACTATTGTCTCTTGAAATTGATTAAAGCAAGAGTTGCTTTTGAGCTGTATTGGACTGAAAAAGCTTCTTTTTCTCGAAAAATCTCCAATTTTACAACTGCTTAATTCGATGCTGAAATACAAAACGATTAACAGTTATTAATAATAAAATATCTTATTATGTGGGCAACCAAAACTATGAAATGAACATCGTAACCTGATGAACTATGAAATTAACACTGTAACCTGAACAGTGAAATGAACACTGTAACCCGAACTGTAAAATGAACACCATAACCTGAACAATGAAATAAACACTGTATGCTAGGGATACTGGGACACTGCTCACATGCTTACCTAGCTAGGGATACTGGGACACTGTTCACGTGTTTACCTAGCTAGGGATACTGGGACACTGTTCACATGTTTACCTAGCTAGGGATACTGGGACACTACTCACATGCTTACCTAGCTAGGGATACTGGGACACTGCTCACATGTTTACCTAGCTAGGGATATTGGGACACTGCTCACATGCTTACTTAGCTAGGGATACTGGGACACTGCTCACATGCTTACCTAGCTAGGGATACTGGGACACTGCTCACATGCTTACCTAGCTAGGGATACTGGGACACTCCGCACGTGCTTACTTAGCTAGGGATACTGGGACACTGCTCACATGCTTACCTAGATAGTGATACTGGAACACTGCTCACATGCTTACCTAGCTAGGGATACTGGGACACTGCTCACATGTCAGCTCACAAGTTTCAGGTTTCTTCACGATTAAACTGTCACGCTGCAACAGATGCATCAAATGAAATACTTCCATTATTGATTTAAAACTTTCTTTTAAAATCTGGTAGGAAATCCATAATAACAATTTTATTAAGTTAAATTTATCCTATGAGAAAAATTGTCCATTAAATAAACTAATGGTTAATTACGTTCGATGAACGTGTTGATAACAACGTGGGTTATATTATTATCATTTTGTATTTGATGATGATTATTGATTTCTAAATTATTACAGAGATTAGTATAAGACTTCTTATATCTTTAACTTATTTAAAATTATGGCCATCATTCACTTTCCAAAGGTCGTCTTATAACTTTAGGAAAAAGACAACTTTAGGTAAAGAGGATGTTGAGCTATAATTCCGACAAACTATATGATTCCGGCAGCTGGCTAAATGTTTGAATTCTTTTAATGTATTGCTCTAATTTGTGCCCATGCAAAATGAAACTGCTAAGTACAGGGTGACCCATTTAACATGGGCAGTGACTCATTAAGTGACGATTGCGAGGGACACCCTTGACAATTATAAATTAAGTAAATGTAGATTAACTTTTATAATACGGTTATGTTAACCTCTCTTAATTTCCATTTTCCTGTAATCATTGAACAAGCCATAATTCAAGGCAGACTTAATTTTACCTCAGAAATCAGAATAGTCAAATGCAGAGTTTTAGGTCGTCTTTACAGTCTCATCCTTTGTGGGTGACCTTGTAGTAAAAACCCGATATCTAATTCAAAAAACTGTTTGTCTTACTAAATAGCTCTTACAAGATTCCTAGCTTGGCTGACTCTCTATCACTACACACTTGTGTGTTTGTTTTAACATGTTTAATTATGGCCCATGATGAGCATAAAACAAAGCAATTGTGCAACGTACGCACATTGAAAACTTAAAGGGACAGACCGGCTATGTAAGGTAGTTAAACTGAGTATGCAGTGTTGTGGAAAAATTCTTTAGGATTCTTTTGAGACACATAAAACGTTTCCACGATGTATAATTACTGAGTTTGAGCGCAAAGTCGATGTTTAAAATCATGAATTAGGGTGGGTACGTTTTCAGTATCGGATTTTTAAATTATTAAATATCGACGACGAAAAATGAAGTAAATTATACAGAAAAAAATGAAGCAAATCAACGCTAGAATCAATTATTTCATTTTCATCATTATATTGAATTTCTTATTTTCTATGAATTTATTCGCAGAATTCTACAAATTCTTCAAAAGTCGTCTTTTCAATAAAAATACCAGAAAATCTTTGTGAATAATGAGAGATTATAGAAACTAATAATTGAATACTTATTTTCGATGAAAAGATTAATTTTTATTTTCTCAACCTGTTCATAAACAACTAATTAGTTTCATGTAGAATTTTGTTTACATTTTTTGTCGTCGTTATTTAATAATTTAAAAAACACTACCCACCCAAAAGTACGATTTTTTTAACGTCGACTTTGAGCTCAAACTCAGAATTTACAGATCTTTAAAAAGTTTTATATGTCTTAAATGAATCCTAAATTTTGTCCACAACACTGCATACTCAGTTTAACTACCTTACATAGCCGGTTGTGTCTCGTTATAATATAAGTTAATTTCAAGAACAATTAAAATATTTAATATTTTAAATCGTAAGTTCTCTTATTGAAGGTCTTTCGAGAATAACAAAATATTTTACACTTTTAATACATAACTTGAACTAAGTACTGAATACTCATACTATTCATAAATCAAAACTAGGAGTTACGAGGTCACAAGGTCGTCCTATTATTGTCGCTTTATCTTGTCCTTCTGTCTAGTTTGTACTTCACACACATTCTTCTTTTCTTCTTACTTATTCTCTTTGTAACTTTAAATACTCATTAGATTGCGTAAATGTCGTCATCCTATTCCACATTTTTAAGGGACCCACAAATTTTGAAATGCGAATGATGGTTAAAAATTACGGAGTAATATATGTAGTATTTTACCTCGTTTGATAAGATTTTCACTTCTTAGGTTTAGAGTATATTTAAAATGTAGCTATAATGCGCAATTTAATCAATGTATATTGTATAATGTATACACATTAACGTATATTTCTCTAACTACTCTAACACATGTTAGGGGGTTTCCAATCGGAATTCTGTTGTGCGGAATGTTTGCTTGCATTAAATACTAAAGATTGTGCGAAATGGTTTTAGATCTAAAAATCAAATATTTTGAATTGTGACTTTATTATGCGTGAAAAACATCAACTTGAGGAGACCGAACCTAACTATCCATATATCCATGAAAGTATAAGGGTTCCAAGATTGGTATACACCATCCATTGTGGGTACCCCTGTTTGTAAAATTACCCCTATAGCTCCCTTTCAGAGATTCATAAAAGGAAATTTTCAGGGCAAAAACGATGTAATTGAAGAATATTTACATGTATACTGTTTTTTACGAGATTTTTCTCAGAAAAATAAAAAAATTGTGCTTCCTTAGTTTTAAACAAAGCTCATTTCCAAACTGTTGATTTTCAGTGCAATGTTTGAACTAGTGACCCATGTTTATAGTGTGTAAGAAGATAAAGGGTTGGTGTAAAAGGTGGATTGAAATTAAAAAATAAACATAATTAGAAGTTATTTACAATTTTTTAAGATATATATAAATTTGACTCAAATTGGAAATGGGAAAAACGTCAGTCTACGTGATTGCTGTGTCCCTAATGTGATTAAGAAAATATAATGGTCATCTAGGAAATATATTTTTTCTGAAATATCAGCTCTCGGCTGTCTACATTTTTGATGGAAATCTTCACCAATTAGTTATTTTTTATTTACAGAAACGTTAGTAGCAAGGTATATTTAATTGAAATAAACAAGTTTGAAATTGACCTATTTTTGCGTTAAACCTCATTCATACGTCATACACACATAAAACCAAAGATTTTAATAATATAAAGAAATGGTATCAGCACAACTGAACGATTTTGATTGTGTCTCGTTATAATATAAAAATATCGTCTCATTATAAAGATATAAATATCTATTATTAAATTTTTCTAGATCTGAAAATTAAAAAGAAATTGTATTCGCAAAATTTGGATAAATATCTGATGCCGTCTCTTGTCAATTAGGAGAATCTTTGAAGAAAACAAAATGTCAAATAATAAAAAAAGAATAAAATAAAGTATATTTATATTCTACATCTATATACATATAATTATGTACAATCAACACTAATAATGCCTTTGCTATCACATTTGCTTTTTTTGCACAATTGTCGAACACCAAAAATCATTTTTTTCTTGTTATTCGAATTCATTCTGACAATTTTTGTATCTAAGTAAACGGAAAAATTTACCTTTACAATTATTAATCCTTCTTAGATAAAATTAATAAATCAATAAAATAATAAAAAATAGCTTTGTGCAATGTGCATTTGTACAGAACTAACTCAAAATTATTAAAGGGACTTTTCCCGGGTTTTAAATTGACTAAACTTTTACTATTACTTTTACTTTTACTTTTACTTTTACTTTTACTTTTACTGGTAAAATCCGGGAGCAATCTCCTTAATGTACAGATATTATTGCTTCGGTCTGGTCGTGCTCATTGAAACTTCCCACGTTAAAATCTAATACTTCGTTTGCCCTAAAACGATGATATCGTTATTTAAAAACCTGTGAAAACAAACTTGCTTCTGTTGCGTGATAAAACATGATCAAATAATATTTGAACTTCTAGGAAAATGTATTCTTGTTCAAATCAATGTTCAAATATTATTTTGATAAAAAAAATGAAAGGTGAACACTTTTCAAAATCTTGCAATCATCAATTATGAACTGAAATAAAAATTGTTCGCCCTTTGTTTTAACTTTAACAAAACAACTAATATTACAAAACTAAATACAAATCCATTAAACGATCACTTGAAAAAAAAAACATGCAAACACAAATTAATAAGTTAGTTAAAACAAATGTGGGTGTGGGTGTGATTGTGTTTTCTGCATTTTATAAGAGGTTTGGGTCGCATGAAAATTTTAAAAGCCCCCCCCCCCGGCTTAAATGCGCTAAAAACCGTG